AACCACCAAAAAAAAACACCAAAAAAAAACCACCAAAAAAAACCTCCAAAAAAAAACACCAAAAAAAACCACCAAAAAAAAACCACCAAAAAAAAACCACAAAAAAAAAAAACCACCAAAAAAAAACCACCAAAAAAAAAACACCAAAAAAAAAGCACTACACTACTAGCTAAGCATGAAAAACTGCAGAGCCTACTTGAATTTTTGAGAATCGAGGAGTAGAGCACTTGGTAAAAATTCGTTTTATTTAAATTTGCAGCACAGCGAAAAATAAGCTTGGTCTGCATTTTGTATCAGAAGTCAAAAATGCATGCGTACATACATACATACATACACACACACACACACACACACACATACACACACACACACACACACACACATACACACACACAGGCACACACACACAACAATTTGGCATCTAAATCTGGCAACATTTTTCTTCTATCCCATATATCTCATATATATCTTATACATCTGATATATCTGATACATCTGATATTTCTGATATATCTTATATATCTATATATGTGTTATAAATCTGATATATCTGATATATATTCTATATCCGATATATCTATATATATTTTACTTTAGGCAAATGCGATTTTTCGAATTTATAATAAATAAGAAAATGAATTCGTTGCCATTATTTAAAACAAAAGAACAGAAATGATTTCTTTTAACCTTTATAGATTGATTTCTTTCAATTCAACTCTGTTTCAAAGCAGGTTCACAAAGCGAAGCCCAAATCGTGGCCTTGATTTGCAGCGTGAATCGAAGCATTAAAAATATATTTAAGTACGTTTTTTTTAAACTTTACATTTGCCCAGCGCCAAATGTGGGGCCCGAATCGAAAGAATCGCAAGCCAGCAAGAATTCAGGGCACAAGCGCTTCGAAACCAGGTCAAAATTGGAGGCCATTGTTATGGCAGGTGGGCAGGTGTCATCAATAGCCGCATCCAGGCACATCCGCATCCACATCCGTTGCAGGTGTCGCATTTGCCCTTACCCTTTAGCCGGGCCGGTTGACGCTCACTTGGCCAAAGTGCAGCCTTTTTTGGCCGTTTTTCGGCGCTGTTGTCGGCCAATTGATTGAGACACGTGCCTCCACTTTGCGCAACAACAGCCGGAGCAGTTGCCGGAGCAGCCGGAGTAGCCGGAGTAGCAGCAACAACTGGAAACGAGTCAAAAGAAGTCAAAAACCAGGCCACGTGCCTGCCTGCGTGTGTGTGCGTGTGCGTGTGTGTGTGGTTGTGCGTGTGTTAATTTTGTCAGCTGAAGCTACCTAATTGAACGCCGCATGAAAACGCACAGGCATGCCGCGCCCCTTCCCCTCCCCATCCATCTCCTTGCCCACGGAACAGCTCCGGAAAGCTTTTGCCAATTTTCATTGCGTTTGTTTGTTGTGCGTGTGTGCGTGTGTGTGTATGTAGGTCACGCCTTGTTTTTCACAATCTACAAATTTAAGAAACGTAATCAACGCATTTGTTGCACGTCCTCCTTATACCCTAGCTGAGACTTTAACCAGGCGGATCTTCGACTTCTTTTTACAGCTCACACTATTTCTTTTCGACTTGATTTCACTTTTTTTTGGTTTTTTTTTTTAAGTTGAAAACTATAATTTAGAAATTTGAAAATTTCTTGCGGTTTGAACCAACGACCTGGCGCTTGCTGGTTCAAACTCAGTTTAAAATATATCTTAAGATAATTTTCAAATGTCTATAAGTGTTTCATTAACATATATTTTAGCCCCTGTTAAGCTTTAACAAATTGGATTTTACTGGAGCAATTCTTAAACTCTGATCTCATGTCTTAGTCCTTAACCATATCTCTCCCACTAATAGCTCGAACTTAAGGTTTTCATTCAGTTTACGACTGACTAATTGATTGATTGATTGATCAAAGTGCTGTCTTCAAGCCTTAGAGCTAGATAGTTCAAGCTGGATGCTGTTAAAGGCATAAAGTGAAGTCTGAGTGACTCGAGGAGAGTTTAATTTTCATCAAATTTTATATATAGATGATATGACTGACTGACTGATTGATTGATTGACTAAAGTACCGCCTTCAAGACTTACAGCTAGATAGTTTAACTTTTGCACCATGTCTACTTCATACGATTTAAAGAAAAGCTTGGCCAATTCCACCCGCGAATGTGAAAAATTGATGGAAATGAGTTAAGTTTAATTTTAAGTTTTGTACGTGGCGAAATAATTGAAATACTTGGACTTGGCAATGCCGGGTAACAGCTGACAAATATGTTGGGTTAATTCAATTAATTCAATTGAAAATTGAAAAGAAATGGAAATTACAACTGATTACAGGGTAAACTTCCAGTCGAGCAGACTCAGCTATGTGAAGCTTTAATTTATTTGATTTTCGACTGCAAATTTTTTTGTTATTGCAATTTCATATTTCATTGTTCAATTAAATGTTACCTCTTAACACGCATGTGGAGTGCGCAAGATTGCGGCGATTGTAAGGAGTGTGGGGCGGTGGTTGTGGTGGGCGTGGCTGTTAGCCGCCCATTGTTAGTCGTGTGCCAAGCTAAATGAATTGTTTGTTGTACTCCGCTTGCCTCACAAAACATCTCCCCATCTCGCCTATTGTCCAGACGCACGTGTTTGTTGTCTGACGGTGGGCGGCAGGTGGAGTTGGGCCGGGCTCTACCAGCTAGCTAAAGGGGCATGGCATGGCGGGGGGTCAGGGGCGGGTTTCGGCCAATTTTGTATGGTGCGTCTAATTGAATATATATTCATATTTGCGCATCTCTCTAGCTGCTTGCCAAGTAACGCCCACTATTATTATCATTTACAGCTCATTGTGTGTGTGTGTGTGTGTGTGTGTGTGTGTGTGCTGGTGTGTGTGTGTGCTGGTGTGTGTGTGTGCTGGTGTGTGTGTGTGCTGGTGTGTGTGTGTGCTGGTGTGTGTGCTTGTATGCCTATAGCATATCGTGGTTATCTTGACGCGACAGATATCCGACTTATCATACTTTATTATCTTCATATAAAGAACTGTTGATTGATTGACTGATTGACTGATTGATGATCGATGCGTAGCTCAAGCCGTAAGAGCTAGAACTTTTGTAGTTTGCACTGTATTTACCTTGTGGCATCTAAATGCACGCTTCGACGGGAACTTGCGAAATTCCATCCGCAAGTGTGGAAAAATCGTGTAATGCGAGTTTCATGGAGCTATGTTTTGCTTACAATCCGATTGACCCTTAACTCAATTCCATTCTCAAGCGAAGGGGTCAAAGGTTTGAGAAAACTATAGTAAGATAATCGAGGGTAAAAGTCATTCTCTAGGTTCTAAAATAATGCTTGATAAGAGCCGATCAAGCTAGCTTGGGTACTGTAATATTTCCGTACAGGTGGAAAATGCGTGGGTGCTTGGACTCTAAATAACTTGATTCGGGCAAGGCCGGGCAATAGCCGCTAGCTAGACGCACACACTAGCGGAAGCTCTGTGGCCTATCGATAAACCTATCGATAAGCATAGCGCCCAATCGATTAGTTGACAATTGCTGTTGATTTGGAATCACGACACTCAACTGTTATGTAGAAAACGATAACAGTGAGTCTCGCGTTCCAACTCAAAGGCAATAATTCTCGAGCAACTTTGCGCGTCGATTCGATTTGTATCGATAAATCGGCTTTCGTGTTTTTGGGCCTGATCATGAATTCGATATGGTCTTTGATTTTAGATACTCCCTATATCCAGTATGTGTGCCACTTATTGAAATACAAGATGTATGGGGTGTCTGCAATCACAAACCACGTAGCCGCAATCAGCCCGCAGCCAAGTGTTATCGGTATCGTTATCGTTATCGTTATCGTTATCAGAATTAATTATCGTTGAAGTGCGTTCTTTGGTGCAGCCCCTCGCGATTGATGATAGCATCTCCAATGAGCATATCACATTGGATTAGTTCTCATCGATGCCGATGCGCTGTACCAGCAACAACAACAGGAATAGCAACGGAAACAGGAACCGGAACAGAAACAGGAAAAAGAAATTGTGTTCCCCCTGGCCCAGCCCAGTTGCGATTGCGCGGACATCTCATCGTATAAACATTCGATAACCAACGAGATATTCACGTTATCGAGACTGAGACGTCGGCAAAGACTGCAAGATTGTGCGACAAGTGAAATTTCATGAATGAAAGTGGTTTTAAAAACTTGATTAAAAAGTGGTTCAAAAGGTGGTTTGAAAGAGGTTTAAAAAGAAGTTTAAAAAGTGCTTTGAAAGAGCTTCAAAAAGTGGTTTAAAATGTGGCTTAAAAAGTGATTTAAAAGAGGTTTTAAAAATAATATGAAAGTGGTTTTAACAATTGGTTTAAAATTTGCTTAAAAACTTATTTAATAAGTAGTTAAAAAATTGGTTTATGAAGTGGGTTAAGAAGTGCTTTGGAAAATGGTTTTTCAAGTGGCTTGGATTTCTTACCTCCTCTCGACTCTCGAGCAGCTTGCACTGGATCTGGATAATTATCTCCTTCAATAACTGGGAACTGAATGAGTAGAACTGGGTAAAACTCGGCAAAAATTAGCTCCACACTTGTCCATCTATTATTGAACTGCATACAGCAAGGACTTGAGTGCATGGCTCAACATTGTTATTTGTCAAATTCTAAAAAAATTTTTCCACCGCATTGCTCAAAATATTGAAATGAATGTTAAACGAGTTGCGTGTGCCAAATGTAATTCAAATGCCAGATGAAACAGAATTGTAAGAATTTTGTCATCATCATCATCAGCAGCAGCATTATCATCATCATCAGCAGCATCATCATCATCATCATCATCATCATTGTTGCTGGGCCTTTCAAGTGCACATTAATGAGCTGCTTGTATGCTTTTAATTTGCATATGTCTGTCAGTAAATGCCCAATCGATAGATAGATGGGCTTTTGATTAATTAACATACACACACACACACACACACACACACACACACACACACACTCATCGACACACAGTCGCTGCACCCCCTCTGGCTACCTCTCTTGCTGTGCAAGCTGGCCGCATCCGCATCCAGGACCATGTCCATGTCCATGTCCATGTCGATGTCCGTGTCCAAGCCAACGCCATGGCCAGAAACCATAATTGATTGTCGATAATTCATGCGAGCTTAAATTGCCAATTGCATGTGGAGCCGGCGGGGCAGGTCCAGCGGGGGGGGCGGGGGCGGTGCGGGGCGGACAGGGACGATGCCACAACTACGTCGGCTAATGGTAAACATATAACATATATAAGCATATATATATATATTTATATATATATATATATGTATATATATATATGCACATGGACAGTCAGTCGAGTCAAGAGGGCTGTTCGAAAGGTAATATGTTATTTGGAACATGAATAAAATCTATGTATATACATATCCCACAAGGAGATAGCCTGCCCATGTGCCGCTTCTATCCTTTCACATTCTCAAGTAACTCGTTCAGGGAACATTTGGGAAAGTTATCAAAAAGTTCAAACATCTACAGCTCTTATAACTCTTAAAGTTTTCGAGATATCTTCGAATAACCAAGTATAAAATACTTATATCGATGTTATCGATAATTATCGATAATTTTAGCTAGCAAACTCAACAAAACCTTGAAATATCACAACTTATGCCGGGATTCTTCTAGCGAATAGTAAATCGATAACTCAACATTTTATCGATAACGATAAATCTTGCCTAATTGCTAGTGGTGACACTTGAACCGATAACTTATCGATCAACCCGCGTGCTTATGTACTTATGAATATGCAAGCCAAATTGGCTTTTGTGCGTGCATGTGTTTGTGTGTGTGTGTGTGGGAGTATGAGTGTGAGGGTGTGTGTGTGTGTGTGTGTGTGGGTCGTTGTCCTTTCGTCTGGGCCCCTTAACGGCCAGTTGTGGCCGATGGCCGTGCAAAAACTGCGGAACATGATGAAAATCCATGGCAAATTAAAATTGGCACATTTTCGCACGAGACCAACCGACACACACACACACACACACAGAAGACAGCCAGGGGCGAGAAGGAGAGGCCAAATGTGGCATGGCGTGCGGCTAGGGGATGCGGAAGGGGAAGCAGGGGGGTTGAACAGCAGACAGCTGCGCTAAAAACAAAGCCATCAATTTTTGGTCGTTGTTGTTGTTGGTAGCGTGAAAATAAAGTTGTGTATGTAAATTGGTTGGCTGTGATCTGCATTAAGGCTAAGCGATGGCACGCGGTACCGTTGGTTAAGCATTCAGTGTTGGCAAATGCCACGAAGGCCGAGCGAATGCGCCTCCACAGCGCTAACTGCTGCAGTTGTAGGCCAATTAAGTTGTTTGCGCAGTGTGCGTAAATTACGAATAGAACTGAGTAGCTGCAGATCTTTACAGTGCTGTAAAGGAAATTGTAAGGCCAACGATAATTAGCTGCAACTAACTCCTTACAGTGCTGTAAAGGAAATTGTGCGGCATACTTCCAGTGCTGTCAAACGAATTGTGTAGCAATCAAGCATATTAATTGTGAATTGTGAAGCAAACGAATTTCTGTAACCAAATGAATTAATTGATTAGTATTAAACAAATAATAGGTAATTAATTGATTGATGACTGACTGATGATTGATGGATGGCAAGTTGGCGCTGTTTTACTAATTGTTAGCTTGAGATGCATATCCATTTAGAACAAACCGTTTCTTGAAGAAAATATAATTCGGCTTGGGATAGGGTTTGGCTGTTCCTTATCCAACTTCTTCAGGTTTGGTTCATGGCAAATAACAAATGGAATTTCGAGATTGAGCCGGTTTTTGATTACAGTAGTACAGTTTAAGTTGTAGTACAGTTTAATAACAATGTTGGAAAACGGCACCAGTGCTGTAAAGGATTAAAAGATCGTGTTTGGTGAGGTTACCGACTTGTTGGGCACTTAGTTGCTAATGTGGCCGATATTTTCAATATGTTGTGTTAATATTGCATGGGCATATGCAAAAATAAGGCACTTTAGCAGCCAAGAGTCCACAGTCCGAGTCCAGCATTAAAAACCGAGAGTCTATGCCAAAGAAAACCTAAACTTAAAAATTTAGAGTGCCACGTGGCATATGAAGCGAAAGGCCCTTTTCGACTGCTATGTGCATTTTTTGACTAGTCATAGATAACAGTCTGAAAGGGCCTTTTGGCTCAGATGCAAACACAGCGATAACGATAACGATAACGATAACAATAACGATAACTTAAGCGATAACGATAACGATAAGCGCATCTGGTGACTAGCCGTTCCTGAAGTGTCAAATAGTAGGTACTACTCGTAAGAAAATGTACGTTGATTTTTATTTGGCACATCAGTGACAGCATGTTACGAGTAATTGCACAACAGCCACAGCCGGAGACAGATCCGGAGACAGATGAGTCTTGGATGATAACGCGATGTGGCATCTAAGCTGGAACTCGATTCTCCTCTGTCATATGCGGACGATAACTATGGCAGTGAGGGTGGGGTTTCCTTATTAGATGCGATACTCAAAACGCATGTTATAGATAAACGATAAACGATAACCGATAACCGATAACACAAACATATATGGTACAGGCACAACTGGGAACAGGCACAGCCGTACTCTACGCTTTTGGGAACGAGCTCTTTGACGCACTCGGTTCCATTGCCGTTGAGTAGAGCTGTCCTGATGCATATCTCAACGTATTGATTCAAACAAGAACCATATTATTGTTTTTTTTTTTTTTGGAAAAAAAAAAAGGAAAAACATTTTACTTTATTATTAAATACGTTACGAACTAAATGGAGAAGTTATTACCAGGTGCATTATGAGGCTCAACAACAATTAACTGCGGAGCTGGGAATGATGATGGATTCACATATATATACATATACATATAGTATATATAATATATATGAGATGTATGCCAATTTGGTTGATAATTACTTTACTTTTGTCTGATTTAATACTCGATTTGCTTGTCTTTTTTTACTTGTTTTGTTCTTCTTCATTTGTTTTGATATTAGTTTTTGCAGAACTAGCCCATGGCATTCTTGACGCACAGCTTTTCCATTTGTTCGGAGTAGAAGCCATTGAAATTGATTCTATGGACGAGATTCATGAAACGATCGGCGGTATTATCCTTGGCCAGATCATTGATTTGCTTAAGGAACGATATAAGCATGCCCGTAAACTCCAGATCGAAACGTTTCACGCGCTCCGCAAACGTATCCGTCTCATCCAAAGTGCTCTCCGACTACATGTATGCGAAGGAGGAGACAATCAATCAAGGAATTAGCAAATATTACTAAGAAATTAAGTAAAGTTAATAATTGATTTGTACATTAAATAAATGTCCACATGAATTGGGCTTAAGTGGCTGGACAAGATGCATGCAAGGGATCTGGCTAAATGATGATGTTTTGATGGTAATAAAAACAAAGAACAAATATAACCAAGTATGTGTCTGCGTGTGTGTGTCTGCGTGTGTGTGTCTGTGTGTGTGTGTGTGTGTGTGTGCGTGTGGTATACCTGCCGGCGATCCGATATGTCTGGCTCAGAGTCGGACAGATCCGTATTCTCATCACTGCTATCACAGACCATGGACTTGAGCTCCGCGTCGAGAAAGAAACGTTGTGAACGCTAATATTTTGAGGAAAAGGGCAAAGACGCAGGCATGGACGAGAGAGAGAGAGAGAAACGAGGAAACAAGACACAAGACAAGTGGAGGCGCATTTACAATAATTCAAGCTCAATCCATATATAAATATTTATAGAGATATATATATATATATATAGGTTTATATTGATAGACCCCTGGACTCACCTGTATGAACTCGCAGAACTTGAGACAAATCTTGCATAATTTGAATATGGCACGATTCAGATGCGACGTTTCGGTTAGCATGCAGTTCTTGAGGCAGAGATCTAGAAAGTCCTGATGCAAGCTGAGCACCATGTCCACGTTCTCCACATTCTTCATTTTCTCAATGAAAATATGCCAATTGGGCTCAATTATCTCGATCATCATATAGTATTCGAGATTCTGCACCGCGTTCATCATGCGCTGGCGCAGCGTAAAGGCCGAACGATACAGCTCAGCGGCATGCGGTGAGAACTTTTTGGCAATCGAGTTCTCCTTCCATATTCTGCAAGGGATTTGGGTTAATATTAATGTGCATCAAATGTTAAAGTCAGGCACACTCACTTGCACAGCTGGCGCTCGACGTGCTTGCAGTAGAAGAGCTGGCGGAAGAGCATCTGGTATTTGGTAATGGCAATGTGATTGAGCACCAGCGAAACGGGCCACTTGACCTCGTAGGTAAAGGCAAAGCATTCCAGGCCACTCAAGTCGAGGCGATCCGTGGTCTTCCAGTATTCTGCAAGCCAAATCTCAGAGTTAAACCTTGGTCACCTTATCTTGTCAATTCGCTTACCCTCCTTCTGGTTCATGATCTTGGACATTTGTGTGACCAGATCGTAGGTGAGCAGCTCGCAGTGTAAATCATCCTTGTACGGATCGCTGCGTGCGGAGGATAGACGCAGCGTCAGACCTAAGAGATTCTCCAGCGTCATGGGCAGCACCAGATCGACATTCTTGGCCAGCTCATCCTCGCAGGCATCCATGAATTGCATGGTAAAATCACCCTGATTCAGCAACAAATAACGCTTCACCGACTGCAGATGCCCCATCAGATCGTTCTCGGTGAGCAGCACATCGAGCAGCATCCGGGCCGCAAAATAGTAGGCATCATTTATGACATGTACATGCAGCTCGCTGGTCGGATCAAATTCGAGATTCATTTGCTGTGTGGGCATCACACGCTTGCCGCATTGCCGAATCACGTTCAGATATTTGCCGGTGCGCAATATTTTGTCTGCGTACTTCTCCAGGAATGTGGGTATACATTCGGTGCGTACTGTATAGCGTTTCTCCCAATAGTCATCGGAATAATGCTCGGGCAGCTCATCCTTGTGTATGACCTCATTATCCTCGACCAGAAACTCGTGCGTGCTATCCACAATGATGCCCTTCTGTATCCACAGCTGCAGCATACGCATATACGGCTCAGCCGCCTTCCTGGCCAGCCCAATGATCAGCTCCTGGGCATATTTGTCGCCCTCCAAATGCTTGATGCGATCGCACAGATGCGACAGCACGGCAGCGCCATGGTAATCATGCTGCGGATAAGTACAAAAATACTAGTTATAGACAGCTATTCACTTTTCTACTTAAGCTACAAGCTAGGAGATGGAATCTGAAAGGTCTAGACAACCTTTGCTCTTCCTCCTCATCTGCTTCGATATGCTCCATGGAGTCGAAGCTGCTGTCCATTAAATGGATTCGGAGCATACTAACCATATCCAGTTCCGCCAAAGTTGTCCAGATCTCATCTATGACCCAAATGGTTGGCTGCAAATAGTATAGTAGCTTGGGCACGGTCAGATCATTCTTGAGCATCTCGACCTCGGCCTGCTGCAGCAGCATCTGCGCATGTAGAGGGACATTTGAATGGAATGCAATTTGGATTTGATTATGATTTGGCTGCAACTCACATAAAAGTCGTGCGTGATGTTTTGGAGCGCAGCGTTGAGCGCATTGTTCACCTGACCATTGCCGTCCGTCAGCGCGATCACCTTTTGTATGCCCATAAAGTGCGAGGCCAGCGGCAGTATTTCGTGCACCATTTCGGCCAGCGATTTGTCCAGATGCACATGAACACTGAAACGGGTCTCGTATTTGGCGAGGCCCAGCGACAACTCGTCGTGGGGCAGCGCCACAATATAATTGCCGCGCACACCGCTCAGGCAGTAGATGATTTCGGTGAGTAGCAGACGCTGCTGGGCATCCGGCGGCAGGGCGGCCAGCTCGGGCTTGGGCATCGGATTCGGTGGCTCCACCTTATAGTAGTCCCAGAGCAAATGTGTGCGATACTCGTCCGGCAGTCCATCCTTGCAGCCAACCAAATACTTGTTGTTATTGTTGTTGTTCAGACTGCAGCGCTCCAGGAAGACATTGCTCAGCGGCCGATATCCGCTGCTGGTGGCCCGACTGCTTGGAGCGCGACTGCTGTTCCCGCCATTGCTAGTGCCCGTGCTGATGGCAATGCTCATGCCGGATCTATGGCTGTTGCAGGGACTGCTGCCGGGACTCGAGTCCAGATTGTAGGTGACACCAGATCGGGCACTGGCGGCATTGCTGGCCACCGCATTGTTGCCCGCGGAACGATTGCTGGCTTTGCTGCTGCTGCTATTCAGAAGCTGATCAATGGAGCCCATTGTCAGCGCCGTGCTGTTCGAGACAGCATTCAGCACGCGCTTCTTGATCTGTAAAACGGAAAGGTCAGCTTATTTATCAGATCTGCAAGCGGGTTCAAGCCCACAAAGGAGCCCTATGTATCATATTAGTTGCAGCCAGGAGAAGCGATTTGAGATCGGGAACTCATTCTCTACCAGAGATTAATCGAATTTTGCGAGTCTTAGCATCTCCTCGAGCAGCACAAACCGTCCGAAAAGCTGTCACTAAACTCTGCCTGGCTTTAAGTGGACTAGGATTGCGGGGATAAGGGGTGCACTCACCACGCTGAGATCGCCACGCGGCACAATTGGCTCGCTGGGCACCGGACGACGTGCATATGTCGCTATGGCCGTCGTCACGGGCACCGTGGCAAGGCCCAGGGACTCGTCGGACTTGCGATGCGTGACGGGCGTCGATGTGGACAGGTCGAGTTGCGAGTTGCGCGCATGATCGCCACTGGCATTGGTCGGCTGCTCCTCAACCTGCAGCAGACTGCTGGAGCTGCGATGGGTGGCTGCATCCAGCAACGGGGCTGGCGATTCGACATTTTTTTGGCTTGCCGGATGCGATAGGTTCGAGCTGCTGCCGTACTTTAAGGGCCACATGGCGTCGTCGTTGATGCGTTCGGCAAAGACCAGCAGTGCGTACATGGGATCCTTCCTGAAATGGATTTACTCATGTACATACATACATGCATAATATATGCGGGGCGACTTACCGCTCGAGTGTGCTTGTTATTTCGGCTAGCACCTCGCGATAATTGGGCCGCTTGCAGCTGATGGACTCGAGCAGCGACAGGAGCTCGCGGTCGGGGCGCCGCTTATCGACGGTGGCACGAAATTCACGTAGTATCTTCTCGGGCGTGTATGGCGTTCTATAAACGAATCGAATAAATACGCGTATCAATTTTGATTTGCCCTCCAATGTGTGTGATACATTCACAACGAAAAATATAAACAATATTTATTAATTAATTGAGCAAAGCATTCAGCAGCAGCCGTCAGCCAACAACAGCCGTCTCAGCCGTCAGCGTTGAGCATCTGGTGCATTCTGCGCTGGGCTGGGCACTTACTGGGATTCGGCGATGAGATTTGCCAGCACAATGCGCACTGGATCGGTTTTACTCGTCGCGGCGTGGGCCATTTGTTTTTGTAAAATTTTGTTAAATTAACGGTTTAAATGAAACAGTAAATGGCTAGCTAGCACACACAACACACACACAACAGGCACAACCAACAACAAACACAGGCTCGTTTTCAGCTGAGGGGCAGGCCACTGCGCTCAAGCGCAAATTGAGCGCGTTTGCCAATAACTGTGTATTCTCTTTCTCTCTCTCGCTTACACTTTGTTGCTCTTTCTGGCAGCGCTGCCACCCAGTTCGAATTATGCAAATATGCACATATGTTTGGCGATATATGTATATAAACTATTACTTACATTGCGTTGTGCAAATGATGATTCATAAGTTTATGGCTTAAGGTAAATTCGCTAAATATGTGTCAGCAAAATATGCATTTGACATTTATGCCAGTACGTTTGACATACAGGCCAAACGTGACATTCAACTCTATTCATCTAGCATGTATATATATATGTATGTTTCTTATCATAGTCTGATTTTTATCTATTCAGGCAATTTGTTGTTGTTAAGTTTCTATTTTATCTAAGCTAAGCTGACAAAACAACAAATTCAACTGCGATGTTCAGAATGTTTTCACTGTGCGATGTTTTCTCAAAATAGCTATCGATAGTTACGGTACACATCCCTAACAGCTGCACGTGCATTTGGTATTGGCAACAAATGTTTACCGAAACATAAACATGGGCAAAAAGGTGTACAATGCCAAGGCGCGGCGAAATCCCGAAACCATTGTCGACAATTCCGCCGTAAAGAATGTGAGTAGCATCTAAGGTTAACGCCGATGTCAACAATTAAACCAATTATATGGCACAGATCAAAATCGTCAGCGAGGATGTGGCCGGGGGCAGCGGCATTTCCACAGGCTACGATGAGGCCAACGCGCTCGTTCTGCCCTCACAGAAGCGTGCCACCAAGATCAAAGTCGAGCAGCGTCGCAACGTGAAGATCCTCTCCAAGAAGCAGCGCAAGCATCTGCAGACCATTGTGGACAAGAAGAAGAAGAAGGAGGGCGTAAGTAATGCATATCCAAGTGTCCACACTGAGTAACCGTTCGCATATTGCTTGCAGCGAGCAGAGTTACTGGAGAATTTGGCTGCTGTGCAAATATCCGAAGCCGAATTGCGGCAATACACATCTATAAGTCAGGTGCAGACGGTGGGCCTGAAGCGTTTGCACACGCTCGATGAGTTCCTGGCCAAGAAGAAGGAGCGCCAGTCGCAGCTGTTGGTCGAGCAGGAACAGCACGGCGCCAGACGCGTCAACGCCATCAAGGGCAGCAAACGCAAGCTGCTCATCGAGGAGCAGGAAGAACTCGAAGCCAAGCGCAAGAATCCAAACATTGTTAATGCCGACGCATCCGACGACGATTCCAGCACGGATGATAGCGAGAGCGAAAGTGAAGACAATGCAGCTCCAGCAATTGTACCAATTGAACCAGAAGCCAATGAGGCAGTTGCCATTAAACAGCAGCCGGCCAAGCCAGCGGACACGCCCAAGCCCAAATCTGCAGCGGCACCAGCTGCGACAGCGTCTTACCAGCACAAGACCGTGTATGTGCCCGTTGATCGCACGCCCGAGGTGCAAGCGGCACGCCTGCGCCTGCCCATACTCGCCGAGGAGCAGCAGGTGATGGAGCTAATCAATGAGCATCCGATTGTGATAGTTGCCGGCGAGACGGGCTCCGGCAAGACGACACAGCTGCCGCAGTTCCTGTACGAGGCGGGCTACGCCCAGCACAAGATGATTGGCATTACGGAGCCGCGTCGCGTTGCAGCCATTGCCATGTCGAAGCGTGTCGCACACGAAATGAATCTGCCCAGCAGCGAGGTCTCCTATCTGATACGCTTCGAGGGCAACGTGACCCCAGCCACACGCATCAAATTCATGACCGACGGTGTGCTGCTCAAGGAGATCGAAACCGATTTTCTGCTCAGCAAGTATTCGGTCATTGTGTTGGATGAGGCGCACGAACGCAGCGTCTATACGGACATCCTGGTGGGTCTGCTGTCGCGCATTGTACCGCTGCGCCACAAGCGCTCCAATCCCCTCAAGCTGATCATTATGTCCGCGACGTTGCGTGTCAGCGATTTTACGGAGAATACGCGCCTGTTCAAGGTGCCGCCGCCGCTGATCAAAGTGGAGGCGCGACAGTATCCGGTCACCATACACTTTCAGAAGCACACGCCCGACGACTACATGGCGGAGGCGTATCGCAAGACATTGAAGATACACGCTCAGCTGCCCGAGGGTGGCATACTCATCTTTGTGACCGGCCAGCTGGAGGTCAATCAGCTGGTGCGCAAGCTGCGACGCGCCTTTCCTTGCCAGCAGCAGGACAACAAGCCCGGCCAGCAGTCGAATGTGCAGCCAGAGCAGGAGCCGGAGACGGAGCAGGAGTTTGATATGAAGCGCAGTATACGCAACATGCGCAAGTCCAAGAAGAAGTTTTTACATCAAATCTCATTGCCCAAAATCAATTTGGATGATTACAAGCTGCCCGGCGACGATACCGAGGCGGACATGCACGAGGCCCATGAAGACAACGATGACAACGAGGATGAGGAGGATGAGGATGACCTGGAGGAGTTGCAGCAACTGACAGCGCCGACAACCAAGCAGCCGCTATGGGTGCTGCCGCTCTACTCGCTGCTCTCCTCAGAGAAACAGCAGCGCATCTTCCAGCCGGTGCCCGATGGCTGTCGCCTGTGCGTGGTGGCCACCAATGTGGCCGAGACATCGCTCACCATACCGCACATCAAGTACGTGGTGGACACTGGGCGCCAGAAGACGCGCCTCTACGACAAACTGACCGGTGTCAGTGCCTTTGTGGTCACACACACCTCCAAAGCGTCGGCGGATCAGCGTGCCGGCCGAGCGGGTCGCGTCAGTGCGGGTCACTGTTATCGGCTGTACTCGAGTGCCGTTTACAATGACATCTTTCCGGACTTTAGCCAGCCGGATATACAGCAGAAGCCCGTCGATGATCTGATGCTGCAGATGCGCTGCATGGGCATAGATCGTGTTGTCCACTTTCCGTTCCCATCGCCGCCCGATCAACTGCAGCTGGTCGCCGCCGAGCAGCGTCTCAGTGTGCTAGGCGCCTTGGAGCCGCGCACTGAGGGCAATACGCCGCCGGTTGTCACCCAGCTGGGCAGGGTAATCTCACGGTTTCCGGTTGCGCCGCGTTTTGGCAAAATGCTGGCCCTGTCCAATCAACAGCAGCTGCTGCCTTATAGCGTCTGCCTGGTCGCTGCGCTCTCTGTGCAGGAGCTGCTCGTGGAGACGGGCGTGCAGCGAGACGAGGATGTGGCGCCGGTATCGAACAAGTTCCATCAGCGGCGCATGAGCTGGGCGGCCAGCGGCAATTATCGTCTGCTCGGTGATCCCATGGTGCTGCTGCGTGCCGTTGGCGCGGCCGAATATGCCGGCTCCCAGGGCAAACTGGCCAGCTTTTGTGAGGCGAACGGACTGCGTTCAAAGGCGATGAACGAGGTGCGCAAGCTGCGCGTCCAGCTGACCAACGAGATCAATTTGAATGTGTGCGATGTGGAGCTGTGCGTCGATCCGCAGCTAAAGCCGCCTAGCGATGCGCAGGCGCGTTTTCTGCGGCAAATCCTGCTCGCCGGCATGGGTGATCATGTGGCGCGCAAGGTGCCGCTCGACGAGATCGGCGACAAGGAGGAGCGACGTCGTCTGAAGTATGCCTACAATTGTGCCGATATGGAGCAGCCGGCATTTATGCATTCCTCCTCGGTGCTAAAGCAAACGCCGCCCGACTGGATCATCTACCAGGAGGTGTACGAGCTTCAGCATGGCGATACCCAGAAAATGTTCATACGCGGCATCACCGCCATCGAGCCCGAATGGCTTCTCATCTATGTGCCGATGCTGTGCAACATACGCGAGGTGCGCGAAGAACCGGCGCCGCGCTACGATTCCGCCAAGGGCATCATCTATTGCTATGTGAACGCCACCTTCGGCAAGGCCGGCTGGGAGCTGCCCCTCGGCGAAGTCGAGATGCCGCTCAACGAGAAGGCCTGCTGGTAAGCCAAGTGACTCCAACTGATTCTCGAGAGCAGCATTCATAGAGTTTCCTTTTTCCAGCTACTTTGGCATGTTCCTGCTGGACGGCATCGTTTGCCCGCCGCTGGCCGCGTTCAGGCCCAAGCTGAAGTCAACGCCCGCCTCACTGATCAAGAGCTGGTCCAGCCTCAACGACAAGGTGCTGCGCTTCAAGCGCGCTCTCATCAACAAACAGATTCACACGCGCCAATCCCTCTTCGACCAGTGGAAGACCGAACCCAACTGTAAGCCTGCTCCAAATAATCCAAATAATCCACATAATCCATATTCTATATCCATTCATGTCTTTGCTTGCAGTTCTGCTGGAGGAATACCAGAATCTGCTGTACGATGTGGCGCTCAGCGAACTGGCGCCCATTTGGCCTCCAAATAAACCGGACACAGCATCCGCTTGAGTCCCAATCCCACCCAACTTTCACTCGTTAACGCGTCTTGTACATACCTCAAATGTGAATCCTTAATAATAAACATTTTGTTATATTTATCCAAACCGAAACCCAAAACTTCAGATTGTGAGCATGCCAAGAACCGTATCGAAAATCGGATATGTTTAACATATTTAAATATTTGTTAATTATTGTTGTCTCTGGAAAGGCTTGGAAAAGCCAGCTATAGGAACCGAACCTTAGGGCAAGGCAAAATGTGCCTAGCCCAAACGGATTCTCAAGTTCCATATTTGTCAAAAAGAATTTAAGATTTGTTTTTAGATTTTTTCGAGTCCCAAATTCCAAAATCCCAGAACTTTTGATCATATCCAATTCTCGTTTGGAGAATCTTCAAGAGAATACTATTGTGATAAATTACATACATATATATAAACTGGGGAATAATTTCGGATTCTTTTGCAAATCGGTTTTCGAAGAAAAACCAGTTCTGACTTTTGTATAACAAGTTTCATTCTCTTTTTTATTTGTATTTTAAATGGTATATGTAATATATACATATATACTTTATATATATATATATATATATATATATTATAAATATGCAAGTTCTTTAAAAACGGAACCAAACAAAATTTCAGAAGAAACAAAAAGAAAACCATAATGAAGTTTCTTTTTTTTTTTTTTTGGGGGGGGAATTAAAATGTTGTTAACAGCTAAGTTTCGATAGTTGTTCCAATACAATATATATATGTTTTCTTTTGTTTTTCACTTAAATGTTTTTTTTTTTTTTGTATATATATATATATATATGAATATGAATATATATATGTTAGTATGTAACATACACACATGTCATATCATTTTTTTTTCTTCTTTTTGTTTTTTTTTTTTTGCCTGTGTTGTACCATTTGTAGATAGTTTCTTGGTTTTTGTTAATATTTAACTTTTTTTTTTTGTTTAGATTTATTTAAGGATTGGCTAGTTTCAGTTAACTGAATAACTGTACATTTAGGTTGGGAGAAACATTCAAAAACATTTGTTGTTCGTGTGCTTTTTGCTGTTTTTTTTTTTTTTTTTTGTTTGTTTTTCACTTTTCTTACGTTTCCTTTGTATTTCTTTTTTTATTTTTACAATTAATCTTAGTTTGTGTATTTGGAAAAATTATTTGGGCATTTTTCTAGTGTAGTTGTTGTTGTTGTTGTTGTAATTGTAATTGTATAGCGCATGCAGCTGCCACACATATTACAGGGTATTCGTTAAGTGTACTCATTTTAATGATATATTCCTTTAGCTAGTTAAATACTCGCAACCATATAATTTTTACACATAAACTGAATTCTTGTAGGGTTTTTTTCTTTTTTTGTCTTGTATATATATAGTATTTTTTATATAATATATATGTATGCATATATCTCTCGCTATAGATACAGTTATACTTGATGCATATGTATGTGTGTATGTCAGTTGATGTGTATGCCACAAGCACATACATATATCTACATGAGTGTGTGTGTGTGAGTGTGTGCGTGTGTGTAGTTGAGTGTGTGTGTGTGAGAGTGTGAGTGTGTGTGTGTGTGTGTGTGTGTAGAAAAAATCAGTCTAATGTATTAAGGCAACGTGAGAGCTTTACATTTTCATATTCATAAACATTATCTCAAAATGTCAGTAAATCCATTTATACGAATATATATATATATATATATGTATGGAGTTATATATATATATATCATTCACCAACATTAACATTATAGTCGTCAGCAATTGTTCTTGACTTTCACTTAATTGTTTAGGTTTTACATTTAAATTACATTTAATTTAATTTAAAATTTCAGTTAGTTTATTTTTTTTTTTTTTTTGTTATATTTCATATATATATATATATTTTGTTGTTGTTTGTATACCCTGTACCCATTGGGAGCATGGGCTAAAAAGGGGGTTTAAGTTAAATACTTGTACATACATTTATATATACATACATGTATATGTACGCATATATATATGTGTGTGTGTGTGTGTGTGTATATGCATTTGTTGATAGGTTTTGTTTTTAATCCTATTACATAATATTAACAATAAAATTTTGGTATGTTTTGTGTTTCGCTTTGTTGTTGTTGTGGATTTGTTTATTCAATTAATTTATATATATATAAATTCTTTAATAGTTCTTATCAATTGGTTTGTTTTTTTTTTATATTGGCTAGGAAAGCAATTGAAATAGTTTAAATGATAAAAAACAAAACAAAATAAAAAATGTTGCAGTTCATAAAACTTAGTTAAATTAATGAAAAGCATTTTGGTTTTGAGTTGATGTTTTTTTCTGTTTTTTTTTTTACATAATTAATTTTACAATATTTAACACACAACTTGTCGGCTTTCGCTATGCATATCGTGAGTATATATATATCTGTATATATATATATATATATATATATATATATATATAAATTTATATATAATCAATTGTTTTATAATTCTTATACATTTTAATACTAACAAAATGGTAATTTTTGTAAATTTCTTTATATATATATATATGTATATGTATATAGGTATGTATATAGCTAAATTAGTAAACTCACACACACACGCACACACACATATATATATGTGTCTGTATGTATGTGTGTGTGTGTGTGTGTGTGCATGTGTGTATATATATATATACATATATTTTGTTATAGGTTTAAACTACATTTTGAGTGAAAAAGCTAACGTGTTTTCTTTTTCTTCTTCTTCATTTTGTTGTTGTTTTGTTTACCAAATTTCCGTCTAAATATATTAACAAATTTACAGCTAGGCGCACGTTCTTTATATATAATATATAGTATATGGATATAGGGTATATGGTATAGGGTATATGTGTAGCTTGTATAATTAATTAATTAATAATATTTACATTTATCCAAACTAAACGCAGTCGTTTTAAAAACTCTACTTTGATTTCATGGAAGTATTTCTTTGTTGTATTCTTTTTTTTTTTTTTTTGTTTTTCTATTTATTTATTTATTATTTATTTGTATTTGCTTAGATCCGAATTCGTTTCAGTTGGGCTAAATTGTTCATCAAATGATATACAACACACACGCACACCCCTCTCTCCCTCCGTCTGTGTGTGTGTGTGTGTGTGTGCTTTAAACTGTGGTTCCATTATTCTCGTCGTGATTTTCTAGTTTGTCCTGTTGCTGCTCCTGCTCAGCGTGCTGCTCCGCCTTCTTCTCCTCCTGCTTCTGCACCTCCTGCTCCTGCTTCTGCTCCACCTTGGCCTCCTTCGTCTCCTCCTCCGCCGTGGGCGTACTTGTTGGCGTGGGCGTGCCGCTCACCTCCAGCGACAGCTCCTCGCTTGGCGGCGTCTGTATCACGTTTGACTGCGCCGTCGCCTGCTCGGCAGCCAGAGCATTCGCCTCATCCTCGAGCTGTTGCAAATGCTTGCGCAGCTCCTCCTCCTGCTGCTCCTCTAGCTGCTGTTGTTGCGCCAATCGACTCGCCTCCAGCTCACGCATCAGCTCCGGCGGCAGCTCGCCCGTATAATCGAATGCCGCGAATGGCTCCGTCGTATCAATATTGATGGCCTGCTTCTTCTTGTCGGCAATCAGTTTCCACATGTTGAGCAGCGTATTGAAATTGACGCCCGGTGGCAGCGAGATCGCCGGAACAGCAGCTGCTCCGGCTGCAGTGTCGGCCACATCGCCGGTAACGGCAACCGCAGCCGCAGTCGCAGCCGCTGCCGCAGCTGTCGGTGCTGGTTCGTCATCCTCGTCGGAGGAGCTGCTGCTGACGGCGCGTATTTTTGGCATCTTGCTGCCGCTGCCGCTGGGTCCCAGGATGGGCGTCAGCCCGGCCAGCTTCAGCTGCATGTTGTACTCGTGAAAGTCGCGCTGTATCGAGCTGCGCCTGGAGTTGGCCATCTCCTCGCTGCTGCTGCCCAATATCTGATTGTATTCGCGCAGGCCCAGCTCCTCGACGGGCACATAGTGCTCCCCGATCTCGATCAGATACACACAGCGATTCACATGCGAACGGAACAGCACATCCTTGTGATTCGGCACCCATACGTGCACCACATGTCCCACCATTCCCGCCGTCGGCTCCCAATCCTTCCAGCTGAGCCGGCCGCCATTGGCGCGCATATGATCCGTGGGCCAGACAACGGCATCGATGATGTCCAGACAGTCGTAGATCTGCAAGCGAAGGCCAATTAAGTAAAGTCCGTCAACGCTCTCAAAGTCTCAAGTTCGCCGGGGTCAGGTCCGTTTCAAACTTGTTCAATTCACGGATAAATCCAAGCTTTAACTGGTTCGACTTTTGTAAGCCCAAGTTGGAGCTCGAAGAAATCTTCTTTTGGAGTTTAAACCAGGTATAAAACCGGCTTTAAGTACGCTTAAAAACTAGTTTAAAAGTGGCTCAAATATAACGCAAGATAGAAGCTTTCAAGGGATTATATGGGAACTCTATCGAGGCTAATTTATAACTCAACAGAATAGTCTTGAGAGGATTATATCGAGTCTTGAGAGGATTTATAGCTCAATGAAATAGTCCATCGAGGATTATATCGGGATTAAATCGACGCTTAAATATTAAATTAAATTTAAAAGAATATGCGATGCACTTGACTCACCCCCGTATCGTCCACAATGATGACCTTTCTGTAGATATCGATGCGTGGCTTGCGCGGCGTTTGCTGAGCATTCGATGCGGATGCGGTTGCGGATGCGGATGTTGTTGCTGCTCCTGTTGCTGTTGTTGTGCTGGTGCTGCCGGAGGCCGAGTCAGTGGCCATGAGGCAAATGGGTCCCTTGGTCTTGCGCGGATAATCGCCGGGCGTGGTTATGATATTGCCAACGCCGGGGCCGATGCCAAGGCTGCCGGACGAGCCGGACAGCAGCTTGTTAGAGCGCGGACTAGACTCCGGCTCGGTCAGTTCCGAATGGGTGGCATTGGCATCGGCAGCAGCATCCGTTCCGCTGGCAATGGGCAATGTGGCGCGTCGTGTGCTTCCTTGGAGCTGTCCGCCGCTACGCGTGCGCGGTCCAGTGCTGGAACCGGGTGCCATGCGCAACGTGGAGCCGGTGCCGGTGCCGGTGCCGGAGCCAGAGCAGGCAGCCTCCTGGTCGCGTTCGCGATTAAGCAGGCCAGCTATGAGCGTGGTGGAGGTGGGCTTAACGGGCATAACGGCCAGGCCGCCGCGAACCACGGCCAGCGTATCGCCAACATAGCTGCCGGCCATGCCGGTCATGCCAGGCACATTGCCCGGCCGGACGTGGCCGTAGTAGCTGTTGACGGTGAGCGTGTTGTAGAGCGGCGCCGAGATGAACACCGGCGCCAGATCCGCGCCAGATTCGCCACCCGTGCTGCTCGCCGTGCCGGGTGCGCTGCCCGAGCCGGCGACAACTCCGCCGCCGGCGCCGCCAATGCTCGTCGCGCCCGCTGTAACGGCGGCTGAGCCTGCAATGGAGATGGAGCCGGTTCCGGTGCCGACGACGCTGCCGCCGCTGCCAAAATTACATGCGCCGCCGGCGCCGCCGCCGAGCTGCATGGAGGCCTCCATGGCGGAGCCGGAGCTGCAGCCCTGACGGCAACGTTCCCGTATGCGATGCCACCAATCGAGTACGGTTTGCCTGATCGTGTCCAGGGTAATGGCACCGCCAATCACCTGACAGAGCTGCCCATTTGTGTCCGCATAGGATGTGGTCAGTGGCGAGACGTAAATGGGATAGCCAATGGGCTGATCGCAGCTGGAGTTGATGATGTTGCGCAAAGCCTGCTTGGCGTTCTGTATGCTGCCGCGTTCCGGATTGCGATTGCGCAAATAAATGAGCTCCTGCTGCTGGCCAGCCCACAAGCCGCGCACGCATTCGCGGTTTAGTTTGATGACGCGAAAGCTGAGAAAACGCTTGGTCAGCCGGATGATGCGATACTCGTCAGAGCCGTCCTCCATGACATGGCGCAGGGCCAGCAAATTGGGTGCGCCGCGCAGCACGGCGCTGCGCCAGACGGGATCCGCTTCGTGCGAAATGACCAGCTCCTTGGAGCAATTGTCGATGGCCTCGTACAGGGCGAGCGGATCGTGAAACTCATCCGGATTTGTGATATGATCCTGTTGCAGTTTGAGGGCCATTTTAACAGCGGGCGCCACAACCGAATGCAGCAGCTCCATGTCCGCGAATACCCATTCGTCGCGCGGCGACGTGATCCGAAAGTCGCCCTTGAAGAGTGCATGAAGGCCGTGCAAAAAGTACTCGACGCCCGTCAGCGAGCTGTGCGACGCGGTGGCCAGGGATCGACGGGCGAGCAGGCCCAGTGCCAGGCACAGGGACACCAGCGGCGCATCCTTGTTGACGCTCTGGGCGCGTGGCTTCGGCGTTGGCCGCGACGTCATCGAGGGCACCGTGCTAGGCATTATGGTGGTCAGATTTGTGCCCTCCTGCTGATTGATGGTCGGCTGCAGGCGCGGCGAATCCTCCTTGCGCAGCGATTTGCCCGGTGTCGTTGTCGACGTCTTGGCCAGCTTGACGAACACATTCTGATCCATGTAGGCCACATAGTTGCCCAGCCCAGGTGCGCTCTCCGACGTCTGTCGCGAGATGTTCGCAAAGCTGTGCGAGCTGCTCAGCTGATCGATGCCGCCCAGCACGCTGCCCTCCGGCTGGACAACGCCGGGCGCCGTATTGCCGCCGCTCATCGTGGCGCTCTTCTGGGGCCGGACGCTGCGCAGCTGTTGCTGCGACTGAGACTTGGACTGGGGCACACTGGTGCCGCCGTGCGCGGACAGATTCGGCGTGCTCTTCGAATCGTTGTGCGCGGGCGTGCTATTCGCTGTTACTGCGCCCGCATTGCTGGCCAGCGGCTGGATTGTGCTTGGCGCCTGCTCAACCGCTGTGCTAATGCTCAGTGGTGGCGGACGGGGTGGGCGTGGCGGCGGCGGCGGCACCACAGCAGCGGCAACTGTGGGCGGCGTTGCTGTGGTGGCAGCCGGCGGCGCAGGAGGATCTTTGACTGGCTGCACCGTTGGCTCCTTGGCGGCTTGCGCCTCCTTGCGCTTGTCTACGCAGTAGTTGATCCACTTGAGATAGACGTAGCAGAAGCTAGAGCGTGTTATGCCAACGGCACGAAAATCGAAATCCTCATCCAGATTGAAATTGAATATGGGATCGAGATCGACAAATTGACGGCTCAGCGTATGCTGCAGTGCCTCCTGTATGGGACCCGAGGCAAGCCACTGCTCCAGCTTCGGATTGCGCACCACATAGTAGATGATGCTCTGCGAGGATGAAGTTGCAATTAGTGTCAAGTGGGTTTGGGTCTATGTGGGCGACGCACCTTTATGTAGTAGGTGATGAGCACCTTGCGGTACTCGAAGACCTGCAACGTGGCGCTGGCCAGGTTATCTGATATGGAATAGCCCTCGATGACATATTGGGCGGCAACTACCTGCCAGGCTAGCCAGCGCGTGGAGAACATGGCATTGGCGCTGAGCAGACGCGGTAAATGGCCGGGATCACAGCAACAGCAGCCATCGTTGTCCTCGACATCCTCTGTAATGGCCTCCACCTCGCGCTGCTGGCAATAAGTGCCGCGAAATTCCAGGCCGCGCATCTGAAACGTGCACAGCCCGTTGCCCAGCTCGATGATGTGCACCAAACAATTCAGATCGTCCGAGGCGAGCACTGCAAAACGGCAAATGTTAATTACTGGGAGCTGGAGATCTGATCTCACTTACCGAAGCAATCGCCCTGGTTGACATTGCCCCAGCGACCCATAAGCAGATCGCCGCAGAGCGAATGCTGCAGCGAGCGCGTCAGATGCTCGTAAAAGATGCTATTCAAATTGTTGTCGTCGGCGCCGAGATCACGTTCCAGCTGCGAGCTGAGCCGTGTGTTCGAGTGATCGATGCGACGCGTATTGTAGTCCCGTTCCCAGAACTTAACCGGACGCACATACGAGGTGAGAAATATGGCGCTGCCCAAAAACGGATTCAGCGGCGTCGACAGCAGCGCCGATATGCCCGCCTGCAGGAACAGCATGGCCGAGTGGGGCACGCTGAAGGGCTGGGCGAAGGCATGGAATGCCGAGCCCCACGTGATCTGCCACGGCGCGATATACGTCACAATGAACTGCAGCTGCAAGGCGAAGAGGTACAATTATATTAGTATCATATATATATATATATTACAGGGTATTATGTGGCTTACCTTGAGCAGAAAGTCGCAGCACTTGCGAAAAGCGAGCGATACGAAGAAATAGTCGATGATAAAACTTTCCGTTGCCATCGCGAAATCAATGCGAAAGAGCAGCACGGTGAATATAATGATCAGGTATTGGTTCGTCGGATCCGAGTATGCATTACGAACAACTGCAAAAGTAAGGGAAGATGGCATGTGGTTAGTCCAAACGAAGATATATGGATATAGATATAGATATAGATATAGATATAGATATAGATATAGATATAGATATAGATATAGATATAGATATAGATATAGGGAGATATAGTATTTCTATATTAACAAGACTTTTTGCTCATATTAAAGGAGTACACGATAAAAATCTTAAACTTGGTCGATCTCTTGACCGGAAACTAAACGAGCTAGATCTGGGAAATTTTGTATTTAAGTATTACTTAAGGTCGCAATTCCCAACTATTCATACCTATGATGACCTCACTGAACTGGGGAACTGTAAGAGCTACAAGTGAGAAATTTGGTATGCAAGTATTACATAAAGTCTCAATTATACTTCAAGTAGTTTCCATGATTTACCAAGTATATGAACACTTGAGCCCGGGAACTATAAGAACTACAGGTGGTCTGTAAGCTTTCACAAACATGACAGGGATATAAAGACATAGAAAGAGAGAGAGCGAGCAAAAGAGAGAGAGAGAGATGACATCATACTGTCGCACTTACATTTGAGGGCGCAAACAGCGACGATGAGCGTGCCCCAAGGAACTCCGAACTTGTCGACAATATGCTGCGAGTCGGCGGTCAGCGATGAGATGGCCAACAGCGGGAAGAGCACGTTGCGCTCGAGAACGCTCAGATAGATGTAGAACTTCTCGAACCACATGATCTGCGGCGCATTGAGCACCTCGAACTGGCCGAACTCCTTCTGGCGCAGCAGCGGTCGAGCGAAGCACAGCCAGGGCATGTGCTTGCGCATCTGGGGCACGGCATAGTGGAGCAGGGCGCCGAGGGTGCCAATGAATACGTAGAGAACGACATTGAGATCCGGCTGGAGGACGGTGAAGACGGTGCTGCAGTGCAGCACAAGGACACTGACGCCCAGCAGGGTCATCACAACCAGATCATTCTTCAGGCGCGTCGTCACAGTTGCTTGCAATTTGCGCGGCAGCGGATCGGGTAGCTCATCCTGCTCCAGTTCGCTGTTGTCCAGCTCGATGGCGGCATGATCCTCCTCCTGATGATCATCCGTTTCAGCGTCCAAAGCTGTCGCATCGATGTCTGTGTTGGCGGTGCCCGCGCCGGCAGTCAGTGTGGACATATCGCCGGGATTCGTTGTCGATGAACTCGAGATTTTGTCATCCTGCACATCCTCGTTGGCCTCGTTGGTCTTTGTCTCGTAAACGTTCTCCTGGCTGCGCGATCTCTTTACCAGCTCCTTGTCTGTAGCTGCTGCTGCTGCTGCTCCTGCTGCTGGCTCCTCAACGCCAATGGAGGCGTACGAGCTGGAGGCGGTCATGGCGCGTTTGCTGCTGCTGATGGTCTTGGCCAGCGTTTGGCTGCTGCCCAGCGACGAGGCCTTCGATTTGCTGTGCTTCTGATCCAGCTGTGTCTCCGCTTCGTGCTCTTGCTCCTGCTCCCGTTCCGCCTGCTGCTCCTCGCCCATGGCGAGCTTTTCGAGCGAGCTGAGCTCGATATGCTCATTGCTGTTGGCCATGGAGCTGAGCTCCGGCTGGCGTGCTCGATGCGTTGCAAGCGGCGTTGGCTGCCCAGTTGACGTCGGCTCCGATGACTGACGCTTGCCGCGGCTCAGCTGCTGCTGCTGCTGCTGCACCTGCTCCTGCTGCTGCTGCTGCTGCTGTTGCCCGGCCTGGCTACGTTTGCGGCTGTGCCTCAGGTCCTCCTCGTCGTCGCGATAGGTGCTCACGATACAGGTCTTGATGAGCCGCCACAGATGACTGAAATCGCTCGCCGAGCGCGACAAATGATAGCCCAGCGGTATGAGCATTGCACAGAAGATGGAGAAGAGTATATACTGCGTGCCACGACGCTCGTCCAGGGCCGCATAGAGCGGCCCATAGAGCAGCAGGATGGCGAGCACGGAGCGCAGCAGGCAAAGGAATGAACCTGCAACAAAGTAGATTAATGAATTGGTCAAGCAAAGCTGAAAAGGATTGGCACTCACCGAGCAGACTGCTCGCCGCATTGCCGCCAAAGAGATGCATATCGAGCTGCTCGAGCAGGTACATGAGAAACGTGTTGATCTGCGGGCACAGACCCACCGAAAAGATGATCGGAAAGCACAGTAGCAGCACGTAGAGCGACTGCAGCAGCAATCCGACCACATGCGCCGGCGCATAGTGTATGCCAAAGAAAATCATTGACTCCGGCGGCCGCTGCGCATAATCCGTGTCCAGACGCTTCAGCAGCAAGAGCAGTCCGCCGCACAGACAAAAGTATATGGCGCGGGAATAGGCGACCGTCTTGTTGAAGCCGTGCACCGGCGAGGCGGCATCCGGCTGGACGCTCTTCACCAGCGAATACTGGGCGCCGGCGATGACCGCACAGAAGAGCAGCACGCACAGATCCTTGTAGTAGTTGTGCTGCAGTATGGCGGCGCCCAGGCAGGCGACCAGGGTGCACAGCACGCAGGCCAGCAGGACGTGCAGCCAGTGCAGATCACGATCGAACAGAGCTAGGAGCTCCAGGCGATCCATGGCTATCTTGAACTCATGCTCCTGGCCGCACCACTTGAAGCGATACTTGTAGAAACTCTTCGGCACCACCGTCTTCTCGGCGGCCAGCAGGCAGGCGGGCCGCCAATAGTCACAGTACGGCGCAAAATGACCATCCACATTCAGCATCGGCTGGCTGAGCTGTTGCTGCAGCTGCTGCTGCTGCTGCGATTGCTGCTGCTGCTGCTGCTGCCGGCTGGCGGCGGTGTCGGTGGGCAGGGCAACGCCAGCGTTGGTGGCCGCTGCCACCGCCTCGTTTAGCTGCTGCTGCAGTGCATCCGTGCGCGCTGCCTGCAATTCGCTGCGCATCATATTGAACATGCCCTGCAGCGAGGCGCGCGTCGCTCCCGCTGCTCCTGTTGCTGCTCCTCCGCCAGCTCCCGCCGTTGTGGTATTCGCCGCGCGCGTTGAGCTGCCCATGAGCATGCCCAGAGCTGGCGGCGGTACCGTCGTCTGTGCGCCACTGCCTCGCGCCTCGCCGCCCGTTGAGAGCGCAGCCATTTTCTCAATCATCCGCTTGGCGTCCATGCAGCGCTTGTCGCGCGCCAACGCCAGCTCGATGTGCGTCATATGCTCCACGGAGCTGGAGGCGGGATAGCTGCTCTGCAGGGCCTGTATGGCATCCTGATAGAACTGAAAATGCGCACTGGACATGTTTGGCGGCACAATACTGGGATTGGCCGGCACAGGCGTGCCATCCGGCAAGATGCCAGCTATGGGACGACCGCGATCATCGACAGCGCCACCGTGCATCAGCCAGAGCATCTTGTGTATGTCCGCGGTGAGGCTTTCCGTCAGGCTGATGCTGTGCGTCGAGTTCGAGGAGGAGGAATTGCGCGAGGCGCCGCTGCCGGGCAGCTTGTGCTGCTGCTGCTGCTGCTTGATGACCGCCAGATCGTTGCGACAGGCGTCCAGCTGGTTGCTGGTGGCGCGCCGGCGACGCAGTTCGTCCACCTCGCGATAGTTGAGCACCTTGGGTATGGCGCCTAGGCTTCTGGCGGCCATGCGTGATGTGCACGGCTTTTCCTCATCCTCCTCCACCTCCTCTTCCCCATCATCCTGCTGCTCCTCCTGCTGCTGCTCACCATTCTGCTCCGGCTGTGTTTGGGTCTGGCTACTGGGCAGCTGCTCCATGCCGGCGAGCAACTGATCCTTTGAGCTGGCGCTCACCTGCTCACAGTCGCTGGACGGACAACCGGAATCGGCCTCGCTGCGTATCAGCGCAGCCGTTGCCGTCGCCGGTTGAATCTGTTGCTGCAACGCGGGCAAGGATAGCTCCTGGCGCATGGCCTGCTCGGCGGCCTGTTCGCGCGCGCTCTGCTGCTGCCGATTGCTGAGCAGGGGTGAGCGTGAGCCCGTGTTGTTGTCCGTCTCCTCGTCATCGGATGCAGCGGTGGCCACTGCAGCAGCGGCTGTCGTTGGGGCGCCCGTTCCGGCCGTGCCCGCCGCGTAGAGCTCACACTTCTTGAGCACATCGTCCAGTTGACTGTGCGTCTGCTGCAGTTCGCTGAGTATGTGCTCGAGATTGTCATCAAAATCCTTGAAGACATCGTCATCATCGTCCGCCAAAATGCCGCCCACATCCGACTCGGCGCTATGATGCGTCTGACTGCAGCCGAGGGCGCGTGTACGCCGCCTCAGCGGCACATCGTCCAGCTCATCGTCGTCATCATCGTGTCTGCCGTTGACATGGTCCGTTTCATCGTGCGGCTGTGCGCCCGGCGACTCGTCGGACGTCTTCTCATCCAAATGCTCGACAATAGGATAGACGGGTGGCTCGATGAGCGCTTGCGTTGAGCCGCAGGCGCTAGAGCTGCCAAAGATGACGCTGCTGCAGCTGCTTCCACCGCCGACGCCGCCGCCGGCACCGCCGCAGCTGCTCTCCGCGTATTGCTGATCGACCAGACGTGGCGGATACAGGTTCAGCAGCTGATTGCGCACCAAGCTCTTGCTCGGCGGCGGCAGGGGATTCCGCAGCTGCTGCTGCCCGCTGATGGCTTCCACGCTGTTCGGATGCGGGCTCAGATTCGAGACGGACGGCTGCGGGCACAGCACCTCCAGAGCGGCGCTCTTAATGCGCCGGACACCGTTGCCACCGCCGCCCGTTTGGCCGCCGGACGACAACAGCGTCGACTTGGAGCCGCCACCCTGTGCGCTGCTCCCGCTGTTCTGCTTGTGATAGCTGGTTGCGTTGGAATGTCGTCTCCGCTTCATTGCGGCCGTGCTGCCGTTCCGCCCGCCTCCGGCACCAGTGCTGCTGCTGGCATTGCCGCCGCCGCCGCCGCTGCTCACCTCGGCCAGCACTTGGTTGGAATCGGCGCGACCCGTGCACGAGCTGCTGGAGGCGCACAGCTGCAGCGCAGACATTGTGCTGTTGGGATCCTTGCGTACAATCGCGCTGCCCAGATGATGATGCAGGTGATTGTGATGCAGCTGATGGTGATGGTGGTGATGATGATGGTGATGCTGGGCTCGAAATGGCGCCTGATGCGGCTGCTGTTCAATGCCCAAATCGGATTTGGTATAGCTATCATCCTCCAGGTACACATCCGACGACGAATCTGCAAGGCGGCAAAAGCACATTAGAAAATGGATAACCTTAAGGAAGGAGCACATGAGCAGATAAAACAGGCAGCAGGAGGCAGCTCCAAGCTCACAAAGTGGCCAGGGCCTTGGGCCAGGGTTAAGTCATGTCCGCCTGCCTGTCCGTTTGTGCGAGTGCCTCGATCTGGGCAACTACATGAGCTAGATGCTTGCCATTTAGGCTCTCATATTATATTTGCCTAACGCCAACATTTCCATCTCATTGACCCTCCTGACCTTTGGCATATTAACACTTTTTATGCCATATCGAACTCAAAGTTAAACAAGATCTTATTTTCGATATATATGTAGATAGATAAAAAGTAGAAGGAAATATTCGATGCCTGAAGTGGGCGGCTTGGCAGGTGGGCGTGCCCTCGCGGGTGTGCGTGTGTCGAACCACCTGTTGGTATTTTCTTCTTTTTTTTTTTTTTGTTTTAGAGCACTCATATTTAAAATAATTATTATAAATAATAATTATAAAAATATGAAATAAAATTCACAAATTGAAGGCATATTTATCGCCGTAATGGAGCACATTTAAATACTCTAACCCCGGATAGTAGTAAATTATTGGGCCTAACACGTGGAATTTTCTAGATAAAAGAAGTTCATCTAAAGAACTTGGACGGTTTGTGTTGTCAGTCCATCAATCAGTAGGATAAATTAGTCTGTCAATCAGTCACTTGCATACACAAATTAATCGGTCAATCAATCATTCAATTTGATATATCAATCATTCAATTTGATATATCAATCATTCAATTTGATATATATTAACCAGTCAGTCAAGCAGTGAATTTTATGTGTGCATTAATTAGTTAGTCAATCAATTACACAGTCAATCATTCACTTTGATATATCAATCAGTCTATCAGTCACTCAATCAATTAGTTTAACCAGTCAATCAGTCGTCAGTCTTATATATCAATCAGCCAATCAAGCAAATCAATTTGCACAATCAATCATTCATTCAATCAGTCTGCCAGTCAATCAGTTAAATAACATGTAATATCAGTCAGTCAATCATATATATCGATCAGTCAGTCAAACGATCTGTCAATCATTCAGTTTAATACGTAAGCAAAAGAAGTTCTTGAGAGAAGCTCTCACCTAATATCCAGGACTGGAGCGCACGATTGCAGGCATCATTGGCAGCGCCGCGACCGAGACCCAGTCCTAGCTCCATGTCCTCCACATCGTTGACGCCACTGCCGATGCTGCTGGCATTCTGATGCTGGGCATGCTGCTGCTGCAGCTGTTGCTGCTGCAGATGATGGTGCTGGAGATGCGAGTGCTGCTGCTGCATCGACTGGAACAGGCCGGCACGACTCTGATGCTTCAGGCGCTCGTCGTGCGTTTCCGAGCTGCGATGTCGCTGCAGGCGCGAGGAACGTGTAGTATTTGGCTGGGCCACAACCATAACCGCCGAGGATGTGGATGCAGTGTCGCTGCCAGCTGCAGCTGCCGCCGCGCCCGCCTGTGCGTTGTTGGCCATGAAATGCTGTCGCGGATTGGCCCCCGGCCGCACCGCCTTCGTGTGTAGAAAACTGGGCGCTGCCGCCGCCGATGTTGTTGTTGTTGTTGTCGTTGTGGCAATGGTATCCGATTGATTGCGCATCAGCTTGGCGCTAAATGTGGGCTCCGCGGCACCAGCGTCGAGGCTGCTCTGGCGCTCGAGTCGCCGCCGATGGCGTCGACTGAACACCTCCGAGCATTTGCGCGACAAATGACCCGTGCGCCCCGTGCTGACTGTGGTTGTGCCCGTGCTGCTTGTTGCTGCTGCTGCTGCTGCGGTTGAGTTGGGCGTAGAACGGCTGGTGTCCGCTGCTGCAGTGGTAGTGGTTCCGCCGTTGCCGTCAGCGGGAGGCACAACAACCTCAACCATTTCCGGATAGACGGCCAGATATTTGGTGAAGAGCTCGTTGGCGGATAGATTATTCTGTGCAGCGGCGGCAATAGTGGATCGTATGGATTTGCTAACGCTAGCGGAGCCAGCGATCGATTGCTGATCTTGTTGGCTGCCAGCGGAGAGCATCGACGGCGCATAGAACATAAGCTCAAAGGACTCCGAGCTGTTCTTGCGATGCACATCGACTTTGAGATCTGCAATTTGAAAATGAATGTGTTTGGGTTAGGGCTATGGACATGTTGCTGGGCATGCTTACCAATAATGCTGTTCACATTGTCAATGGACATGATGCTGTTCTCCTCGCTGGCCTCGTTGATGGCCTGCTCCACAGACAGATGCGAGCCGTTGTTGCCGATGGCGCGCATCACTTTCATCTCGATGCCGTTCTCCTCGTCGGGATCACGCTGATCCGATTCCTTGGTGACTTTAAAGAATTGACTCTTTAGATTCACCTCGGACATCGTCTGCGCCCGATCGTACAGCCGGTGCAGCGCCAAATTGATAAGCTTTACCAGCAATATGGTGCCGCTGGTTAGCACACAATACAGGCACCAGGTCAGCCATGTGCTTGGAAAGTACTGCGAAGCCAAAAGAAATGATGATATGAGTTAAGTTTAAAGATCGAACGAGCTCAGCGGACTCACCAAGTAGGCGACAAAGGGCGAACAGAGCAGGTAGAGCCAGAGATACAAATGCACCACATTGCAAAAGACGCCCTGATGCGGATCGTAAAAATAGCCGCCGGTCAGTGAGGCCCACACGCCCTGGCGCAGTATCTCCAAGGTCTGTGAACCCATGGTGGCCTATACTGCATTGCTATTATCGGATCGGATTAAGGATCGCCGTCTTATCAACGTTTTTTTTTCTTTCTCAATTCCACTCAGTAATCGTTATCGCTATCGTTATCGTTGTCGCTGCCCTCCAATTGGGAGCTTAAAGCTCAAAGCCAGCGAACGGAGTTGAAATTCGAGAGCAATCGCTCACTTTCAAAGGGGGGCGGGCGGGCAAAAGTGTAGGCAGGCGCCCATCGGTGTGGGTGTATGTGTGCGTGCGCGCGTGTCTCTGTGTGTGTTTGTGTGTAAATGAATTGGCACAACGGGAGGCTGAGTTTGGGCAAAAACAATGCAAGCAAAATAAATAGCTCAAAATCGAGGCGAGGCGAGGCGTTGTTGCTGAAATTTAAAACTAGATATTTTGGCGATTTGTTGCACTTGCTGTCAGCACTTGCACTTCGAAATCAAGATTACGAATACGATTTTAGTTCACATCGATTTGCTTTCAGTTGCTGCTGCAGCTGCTGCTGGTGCCGCTGCTGTTGCTGCTGCTGCTGCTGCTGCTGCTGCTGCTGGTGGTGCTGCTGCTGCTGGTGGTGCCTTCGTGGATGCAGTTGCACCGCGGTAGCAGTTGGAGCGTGTTGGTTTTTTAGTTTACCCGTTGATGCGAGCGTTGTCATTGTTGTTGTTATTCGAACATCTCGAGCATGGTTTCAGCTTCAAATTTGAACTTTTCTTTATTTGGATATTTGTTCTGCTTTTTTCTCTTTTCTTCTTTTTTTTTTTTTTGCAAAGTAACACTCACTCCCTATGCTCCCTCGTTTCATATGCTTTTTCTTTTATTTTGCCTTGTCTTCGCTCTGCTGTCGCTATGTCGAGTTATCGAACGTCGTCGTATCGTGTTATCGAACGCTCCAGTGTTGTTAAGAGTGGCTGAAAAATCGAACTCTTGGCGCGCATTTAAATGTGGCAGAGTATAGTTTGTTTTTTTTTTACCAGTTTATTTTCGCAATACCCCGATACTTAAGCTATTTTACTATATAATAAAAAAAAAAAATTAAAAAAAAAAGAAGTTTTGTGCCTATATCTAAGCATTACATCACAAAGTTAAAATCACCCACAGAACATATCGAGCCACGTTTTGTGTTTTCTTCTCTTTAGTTAATCCTCAGTCTACGTCGCCGCTGTGGTTTACTCCGCACTCAGTGTCAGCGCTCCTCACTGCTGCCGATGCTGCTGCTGCTGCTGCTGCTGGCATCCGTCTCGCTGCCAATGAACCCATCTTTGTGCTCATAGTTATGATGATGATGGATGTGCTCCTCCTCCTCCTGCTCGATGGGCACCTGTTCGATGGGATGATGGTGTTCGTGATGCTCGTGATGATCGTGATGTGCATGATCGTGCTTTTCGTGATGATGTATGTGCTCTTTGGTCTGATGGATTTGTATGGGACGATGCTCCTCGTGTATTATTTTCTTCTCCTCCTTTAGGACAATCGGCTTGTGATGATGATGCACATGCTTTATAATCGTATGCACATGTTTCTCGATCTTCTTATGAACTGGCACATGGATGACAATCTTCTTCTTCTTCTGTTGACTGCTGACAAGGTTAAGGGAATACTACAATGAGAAACTTATAATCCAATAAAATGTGATATTTATGGTATACCCGGCGCTTGTCTCCTGCACCACAACAAAAAGTAGCACCAGCACAGCCACAAACGAAAGCTTTAGCAGCTGCATAAAGAAAGATTTATATATATATAAATATATATAGATTCATCCGATGCCGCCATTTCGCGGCCTTACCACACGACGATTATCCATTTTGCTTGTGTTTTGTGAGGTTGAGGAAAAAGCTGGCGATGCGTTCGCTCGAGTGGCTCGATATGGAATGATTGCTGGCACAGTGCGTCCAAATTATTTTATAACACGATCATGACCAAGGCACAGGGGCCATTCCCAGCTGGAATGTGGCGTGGAATGCGCTCCGTTTCGCTTCCGTGCCGAGGCCCCAAAGCGCCCGTCTCAAGCGCACGCGCCGATCCGAACCACCAATTTATGTTGGGCGATCGCATTGTCGATACAGTTATTGCAATAGCAAATCATCATCATCATGGCCATATTGTGGATTGTGGGTGTTTTCACTTGTTTCGCCTTTGTTCCCACATTTGTTGGGCTCCCGTTTGCTTTGATAGGTCTTACGTATACTCTACATTGACAGCTGGATCTGCCAAGGATTGGCTTCATGTCTTGCGATTCATTACGATTGAATTCACGCCCAATTCACGCCCGATTTCACTTTATTTAAGCTGCAAGCTTGTAACATTTTTCTGGATTTTGACAACTCTTGCTTTGACAACTCTTTCGTGATTTAGTTGGATCTGCCAAGGATTGGCTAAAAGTCTTGCGATTCACCACGATTGAATTCACGCCAAAATCACGGCCAATTCACGCCCGAATTCACTTATTTTTCACTTTATTTGAGCTTCGAGCTTGTATAATTTTTCTGGATTTTAACAACTCTTGCTTTGATAACTCTGTCAAGGATTGGCTTTACGACTTGCGATTCACCACGATCGAATTCACGCGCTATTTCACCTTTATTTCACTTGATGCGAATTTGTATCATATTTGTGGATCTGCTGCGATCTCTGCTGAATGTAGCGCATTGGGCATTCGTATTGCTCGCAGTTTGTTGCATTGTTTTGATTTCCTTTGTGATTTTCTTATTGTTACACGAAAACTTCTTTTTCGGTTTTTCGCACAGACGGAAGACATCGACAAGGTGTGTTGTTGCCGTGTTTGCGCACCTGCACAAAACTCAGTCAACGGAAATAAGTTGATATATGTTTATTAAATATATCTGCACACATGTGTTCATAATAATGGGCAATACATATCTATAGACTTGTCAATTTGTGGCTGCATGTACGTGAAACTAACAAATTAAATAGTTGTATTATAAAAGTATGTAACATTTAATATTGGCAACAACTAGACCGTTTGAATTCGTGTGTTACGCAATGACACGAAAACAATTTCCAACTTCAAATTGTTGTTTTCTTCTTCTTTGTTTTTCGACTTTCCATATATACATAATTTCTCTTTCATATGCAGTTGAGTGCATTTTTTTGCATTTTCCCCCGTCTTGGAAATTCCAAAACACACATTTGAATAATAATCGACGATAAGTTGGCTATCGATATGGCGCTTAGCAACACTGCTCTCTCTCACACACGCACACACACACACGTAAGAAGCCCACACATATTGAAGTCCGCACGCAAGAAGCAGCAGCAAAAGAGGAGAAAAATAATAGCAAACAAAATTCCGTGAAAAGCTCATTTTAAGGTAATTAGAAGGATTGCAACAATTCTAACGAACTGCCCGCAAATACAGAGTGTGCGCAAACAATCGCAAAATCCGTGCAATAGTTAATTGTCTGGCGATTTAGCGGTAAAATTGACATTAATAAAAGTGTGAGACGTGTTCAAGCTGTCATATGAGTAAACTCTTGCCGTGCCTCTGTGTGTGTGTGTGTGTGTGTGTGTATGTGTGTGTGTGCGTGTGAGAGTGGGCTGCTACGCCCCTTAAGAGGAAGCGCCCATATTATACCCAAATCAATAGCTTGAATTTGAGTTATGCTCTGATTGATGTGCCCTTGTGTGGGGTATTCCGGGGAGATTATTGACCAGGATGACGGCGCAATCTATTTGCCTTGTTATGCTGTAGCAGAGAGGGTATGCCAAGTCGGCATACATATATATTCCGAAAGGAACACAGTCGGTCAATAATAAAATCTATATAGTTTAGCGAAATTCATGAGAACAAACTTTTCCATAAATTATGTGAAATTTTTGCTTTTCGAAAAAGATTTTTAAAGTAATCTTTATCGTGCAGTATTATTATAGAACCCAATTCGGATATCTGCCTGCAAGGAACTGTGCTGATTCTTCATTAATCTTCCTGTTTTTCCCTTTTCCCCAGCAAGTTCCAAGCGTGAGACAGTTCCGGTGTGAGTAGAAGGACAAGAAGAAAAACTACAAGATGACCGATTCAAAGTATTTTACGACCACCAAAAAGGGCGAAATATTCGAGCTGAAATCGGAGCTGAACAATGACAAGAAAGAGAAGAAGAAGGAGGCGGTCAAGAAGGTAATTGCCAGCATGACCGTTGGCAAGGATGTCTCCGCTTTATTTCCGGATGTGGTCAACTGCATGCAGACGGACAATCTGGAGCTGAAGAAGCTGGTCTATTTGTATCTGATGAATTATGCCAAATCGCAGCCGGACATGGCCATCATGGCGGTGAATACGTTCGTCAAGGATTGCGAGGACTCAAACCCGTTGATACGCGCCTTGGCTGTGCGCACCATGGGCTGCATTCGTGTGGACAAGATAACCGAATATCTGTGCGAACCGTTGCGCAAGTGCCTCAAGGATGAGGATCCGTATGTGCGAAAAACGGCCGCCGTTTGTGTGGCCAAACTGTATGATATATCGGCAACAATGGTAGAGGATCAGGGCTTTCTCGATCAGCTGAAGGATCTGCTATCCGACTCGAATCCCATGGTGGTGGCCAATGCCGTTGCCGCGCTTAGCGAAATCAACGAGGCCAGCCAATCGGGCCAGCCGCTGGTCGAGATGAATTCGGTGACCATCAACAAGCTGCTGACGGCGCTCAACGAGTGCACCGAATGGGGTCAGGTCTTCATACTGGACTCGCTGGCCAACTACAGTCCCAAGGATGAGCGCGAGGCGCAGTCCATTTGCGAACGCATCACACCGCGCCTGGCCCATGCCAATGCCGCGGTCGTCCTGAGTGCCGTCAAGGTGTTAATGAAGCTGCTCGAGATGCTGTCCAGTGATAGCGATTTTTGTGCCACTCTCACCAAGAAGCTGGCGCCGCCGCTGGTCACGCTGCTCTCCTCCGAGCCGGAGGTGCAGTATGTCGCGTTGCGTAACATCAACTTGATTGTCCAGAAGCGTCCGGACATACTTAAGCACGAGATGAAGGTGTTCTTTGTCAAGTACAATGATCCCATCTATGTGAAGCTCGAGAAACTGGACATTATGATACGTCTGGCCAATCAGAGCAACATTGCCCAGGTCCTAAGTGAGCTGAAGGAGTACGCCACCGAGGTGGATGTGGATTTTGTGCGTAAAGCTGTGCGCGCCATCGGACGTTGCGCCATTAAAGTGGAGCCATCGGCGGAGCGTTGTGTCTCCACGCTGTTGGATCTCATCCAGACGAAGGTCAACTATGTCGTTCAGGAGGCAATTGTTGTCATCAAGGACATCTTCCGCAAGTATCCCAATAAATATGAGAGCATCATTAGCACATTGTGCGAGAATCTGGACACGCTCGATGAGCCGGAGGCGCGTGCTTCGATGGTCTGGATCATTGGCGAGTATGCGGAGCGCATTGACAATGCCGATGAGCTGCTCGACAGCTTCCTGGAGGGCTTCCAGGATGAGAATGCACAGGTGCAGCTGCAGCTATTGACCGCTGTGGTGAAACTCTTCCTTAAGCGGCCATCAGACACACAGGAGCTGGTGCAGCATGTCCTGTCGCTGGCCACCCAGGATTCGGACAACCCGGACTTGCGCGATCGCGGCTTCATCTATTGGCGTCTGCTCTCAACCGATCCGGCCGCCGCCAAGGAGGTGGTGCTGGCCGACAAGCCGCTCATATCAGAGGAAACCGATCTGCTGGAGCCGACGCTCCTGGATGAGCTCATCTGTCACATCAGCTCGCTGGCCAGTGTCTACCATAAGCCGCCCACAGCCTTTGTGGAGGGACGCGGCGCCGGCGTACGCAAATCTCTGCCAAATCGCGCCGCTGGCGCTGGCAGCACTGGTGCCGAGCAAACCGAAAGCGGCGCCGGCTCCGAGGCCACGGTCATACCCAATCAGGAGTCGCTCATCGGTGATCTACTCTCCATGGATATCAATGCGCCCACCATGCCCGCTGCGCCCGCCACCACCACCAGCAATGTGGATCTGCTTGGCGGCGGCCTGGACATACTGCTGGGCGGTCCGCCAGCGGCAACAGATGCCGCGCCCGGTGGCGCCACAAGTCTGCTGGGCGACATCTTTGGCCTGGCCGGCACCTCGCTGTCCGTGGGCGTGCAAATACCAAAGGTCACCTGGCTGCCGGCGGAGAAGGGCAAAGGCCTCGAGATCCAGGGCACATTCTCGCGCCGCAACGGCGAAATCTACATGGACATGACCCTGACCAACAAGGCCATGCAGCCGATGACCAATTTTGCCATACAGCTAAACAAGAACAGTTTCGGCCTGGTGCCCGGATCACCTCTGCAGGCGCCACCATTGCCGCCAAATCAGAGCACCGAAATAAGCCTAGCGCTGGGCACCAGCGGACCCATTCAGCGCATGGAGCCGCTCAACAATCTGCAGGTGGCCGTTAAGAATAACATTGATATCTTCTACTTTGCCTGCCTGGTGCATGGCAATGTGCTGTTCGCCGAGGATGGGCAGCTGGACAAGCGCGTGTTCCTCAACACCTGGAAGGAGATACCCGCCGCCAATGAGCTGCAATATAGCTTGAGCGGCGTCATCGGCACCACCGATGGCATCGCCTCCAAAATGACCACAAATAATATATTCACAATTGCCAAGCGCAATGTCGAGGGCCAGGACATGCTCTATCAGTCCCTTAAGCTGACCAACAACATTTGGGTGCTGCTCGAGCTGAAGCTGCAGCCGGGCAATCCCGATGCGACGCTCAGCCTCAAGTCCCGCTCCGTCGAGGTGGCCAACATCATATTCGCCGCCTACGAGGCCATCATACGCTCACCCTAAATGGACACAAGAGGCAACAGGAGCAACAACAACAACAACAACAACAATTCGGGTTGAAATTATAAAACTTTATGTAGTTATTTGAATATTACGCGTTAAATGAAAAATCCTCAAGTACGCAAACCTTGAGGTGTATTATTATTAATATTATCTATTTTACAATTATATATACATAATACATACACACATATATATATATATATATTATATGTGTGCATAACTGGAGCACATTATAAAACGCTGCCCGAATCCAAAAACCAAATCGACGTTGGACGCATTCCAAAAAAAAAAAAAAAAAGTAAGAGAGAGGAAAGAATAAGTTATCTGGAGCACATCCGTTGGGCTTTATCATCCAATTTTTTTTCGCGCTTAATACTAAGTAATCGCATGTCTGTATAACGCATATACATAAATATATATATATATATATATAAACATATAATCAAAACGCCTTGCGTATACCCTATGTGCTCCTTGTTGTTATTGGGGAGTTTCGGCTGCACATTAACATAGATTTCTTGTAAAGGGTATTATAAAGAAGAAGAAGACATCTGCGACCCCAAAAAAAAAAATAGATACTAGTTTCTGAGACACATTAGAAATGAATCGCTTACTCCACTCTCTGTTCGCCTATGCTTGCTTTGGACTTGATGTTTACAGGGTATATAATCGATTGCACTTACATATTTACATACCTGCAAAGGTGTTAGCATAAAGTTTACGCCGTTACCGTTAACACGCGAAAGCTCGCCGCCGCACAATTCCTGAGCTTTTGCTGAGCTTTCCGTTTAAGGGTTGCAAAGGGCCGCCCGCCATTTGTTGCTGTCCTGCTCGCACCCGCGACAGCCAAATGGCAACGGCATACGGCGTGTGGTTGTCCCTGTTCGGCGCGAATCGCTGTTTTGTTGTACCACAAGTAAATTCGTCTTGGCCCCGATTGTAACGTCCAGCAGCAGCTCCAGCTTCAGCTCCATAAAGCCAACTAAGTGTACACAATAAAAACGCGAGTGCATTTAAGAGGAAAAAACAGAGGAAAAGCCAAAGCGCAATTGTAACAAAGAAAACTTATTTGAAACGGAGCGTCCAGACGCGCAGTTCATATAGTGAAGGATTCGCTGCAGGACATGCGTGAAAACAACTCCGCCCCAAATTGAAGCTGGCTGCAATTTTGACACACAAATCTCGGCTGGCCATGTGGCGCGACCCGTTGTTACCAATCAGCAAACGATTTGGCGACTAGGCACAGCTCAGCTCCGGGATAATGAGTGCAGCCGGAAATGTGAGCGCTCCAATTGGAGTTCCAGTTGCAGCTGGTGCGGAAAGCAGCGCCCTGCACTCGCTGGATAGCTATGATGTGCTCTATGATGGCCAGGAGCACGATGATACCAAAAGCATCTCTCACTTGGATTGGCCTTTTTTGATTAAGGTGCGTACACAGACACAAACTTTCATTGAGGTTATGTATGCAAATATGCATGCGTTTGCTCTGCTTTCATCTCGTTGTCAGCGCGTATGTGTGCGTGCATGCGTGTGCGCGCGTGTGTGTGTGCGTTTTGTGTGTCAACAGCCCAGCTAACTGTAACTGAGTCATCAATGAGTGGACGGACAGGCAAGTGGCGCCAACTGTGTCAGTGGCAACGAGTGCAGCTGCACCCGAAAAAAAAACTCGTCCTTGATCGAATTACAGCCAAACACATACATATATGCATATATATATATGTACATATATGTGTGTGCGCCTGTGTGCATGCAAATGATATGCTGACATGTTTATTATGGTTTTAAGCGACAAGTCTCAACAGAAAAACAAGTGAGGTTATGTTGAAGCTTAACTATATAAATGCAAGTTAGTACAGTTAACTTTGAAGTCTTCAGGCAGATATATGTATGTATCTAGAGTGATATATGTATACATTTAAATACATAGCCAGATAACCTTGTTTTCATTGCTTGCACGATCGTTTCTATGGCAGCCATTTAATATGGTATATGTGTATGTATGTATGTATGTATGTATGTATGTATGTGGGCAAGGGATTTTTCATATAAAAACTCTTATACGCAAAAACTCTTATATGCTTAAGATATACGAATATGAACTGGAAGATTTGTAATCGTAAAATCATAACAGAGAAAGAGAGAGAGAGAGAGAGAGGGAGAGAGAGAGTTGTATATGAGGTAAAAGATTTTGATAGCCTTTAATTGAAAAGAATTCGAAAAACCAGACTTTAAATGTATTGAAAAAGTCGTTTCAAAGAAATTTAAATGTCCAATGGAAAGGACTACGAATCGAAAATAGATGCTGGCTTAAAAGCTAAAAACCTGCGCTCAACCGTTCCCAGGCAGAAATGCAGCTGGTTCTACGAATTATTTGTGTCTGGATGCGATGGGTTTCAATCGCTCAATCACTCAATCATGAAAGACTCCCCCACAGTTGGCCCTTTGTTTATGGCAATTGTTTTTGGTACGGGAAATCGGTTTAAGGACCTGAAGCATAAAAACAAAAGGGAACTCGCGACCCAACTGCATATCGCATGGTTGAATGCATTTAATTAACCATTTCCGTTTGCCATATGGATTGCTCTTTTAAAAGAATTGTTGTTATTTTAATACCCTTACAGAGAGTATTATTATTTTGTCGGTCGAAAAGTAGGTTCTTTTATGGGAAACTTTTTTGTTTATTTAGATATCCTGACCAAACTCGGCAATTTTTAGTTTTACCATGCTCCTCATTTATATGCAAAATGGCATCAACATCGGACTACTATATCATATAACTGCCATAGGAACGATCGGTCGAAAAGTAGGTTCTTGTATGGGAAACTTTTTTGTTTATTAAGATATCCTGACCAAACTCGGTATTTTACAGTTTTACCATGCTCCTCATTTATATGCAAAATTCCATCAACGTCGGACCACTATTTTATATATCTGTCATAGGAACGAGCGATCCAAAAGTAGGTTCTTTGGTCCGCAAGGGTATAAAATCTTCGGCGTGCCGACGATAAACCTTCTTTCTCGTTTTTTATTTTCCCTTTTCTCTTTTGTCGTTGTGCAGGGCATCCTGGAGAGCAGCCAGACATGTGCACCCACCGCACCCGATACGCTGGCGGCGCTGCTGTGGGCCATTATAGCGGTATTTGGAATTGTTTATGCCCTGCTGGGCTATCGCTGTCTGCGCGCGGTCGGCTTCCTCAGCGGCCTGATGGTGGGCGCCAATGGCATATTCATATTGCAGGACTTTCAAATAACCTGGCTGGGCAAGCCGGCCGACTCGGCGCTGGCCATTGTTGCCGGCCTTCTCGGCGCTGTGCTCGGCTCCACATATCCCGTGGCCTCCGTTCTAATCAGCGCCTTTGCCGGCGCCCTACTTTCGGGCGCTGCGATGGCCGTCTGTGTGGCCACCATGCCGGACAATGAGTTTGGGGTAGGTGCCAACTTTTTCATATTGATTCCACATTTAACACTTAACTAGGAAAAAGTTAACACCTTTACTTTACTTTACAAGCTGAACATGCAAAATCTGCATGTTAAGTTATCAGCCACATTGTAAATATTAAGCATATGCATAATCCGACTAGATAACAATCTGAACATACAAAATGCTCTTGTTAACTTATGTTGTGTTAAACAAACCCTTTGGTAATTTACACAAATTCAGGCTTGTTTGCGTTTTCCCATGCTCATTGAAGCCGCACATTTGCATGTCAAGTATTTACAATGTGGCGCATAGCAATCAGCTTTTGATAGACAACCCATTTATGGGCCAAGCGTTGCCACAGTGTTAATAAATATTAACATTTGCTTACAATGAAGATAAGACCTAAAAGATCTTCAAGTCTAATCCGTGCCTCTACTTTTCCCAGTATCGCGAGATTTATGTGGCCGTGGTGGGCGGCGCCGTCATCTGCTCGGTGCTGACGCTCTGCTGCGTCAAATATGTGACCATATTGACATCCAGCATTGTGGGCACGGCCATGGTGATTGGCGCAATAGATTTTTTCATGCACAGCCTGGAGACAATCAATTGGATACTCAATATGAAGCCGCATCCCATGCCGCCGCCCTGCTACGGCGGCCTGCTGATCACCGCCTGGCCCGTGACCATTGTGATCAGCATAATGGTGCAGTGCTTCATCACCGCCTGGCGGGTGGATCATCGCAAGCGCATCTATATGCGGCACCATCAACAGCATCCGCATGGCGCCCACTTGCCGCACGGCCAACCCCCGGCGCCGGGTAATCCGCATGTGCCCATGCGGCGGGCCCAGTCGCGCACCCGGGAGACCCGCGAGGAGGCGCGTCAGCGCAAATTTCGCTATCTATATCAGGTGCGCACCGCGCGCGGCGACATCATATCCCAGGTGAGTGGACGAATCCAGTGTCAGCTGAGAACGAGTATATTGGTTCGTTCATCCGTCCGTCTGGGCGGACCGCCAATGGACCCATGTATCCAACGACTTTAAAGCTAGAGTCTCAAACCTTCAGCCGCCGTGTACAGTCATCCAACAATTCCAATATCAATATTTCAGTAGGTCGAAGTTTGAAAGTGACTGTACTTTATCTACAGTCTGAGAGTCACAAATCAAATAATCAAGCAAACTCTTTTCAGCAGTTAATAGAGTATTGTACAGTCGGTTACATTATCGATTGTCCAGTCACAGTTTGACAAGGACTACTCTGCGACCACAGTTTGAGAGTCAACAAAGAAATATTTATGTAGACTCAATTCGACAGTGAGTAGCATATTGTGCAGTCGGTTACAAGCGATCATCAACGATAGTCTAGTTACAGTTTGAAAGTTACAGTCGGAGTTACAGTTTGAGAGTCACTCAGCCAATAATCAAGGCGGCTTCTATAGATAGAGTATTCTGCAGTCTGTTCTTACCAATCATCATCTATAAACCAGTCACAGTTTCAGAGTCATTGATCTAGATTTACAGTTTGAGAGTTACCAAGTAAATATTAAAGAAGACTCTTTTCGACTTTGGATCGAGTAATGTACAGTCGATTGTTATCGATAATCATCTGATATCCGTTCACAGTTTAAGAGTCGTTGATCGGGGTGAGTAGTTTGAGAGTCACTCCTTCAATAACGAAGAAAATTCTTTTGAGCTGCGAGTAGAGTATTTTAATGTCGGTTGCTACCGATTATCATCCATTATCCAATCACAGTTGTAGAGTCACTGATCTATGTCTACAGTTTGAAAGTCACTGCTCGGTGCCTACAGATTGAGAGTCACCCAATAATTAAGACGACCCTAGATTAAATTTATCTTACCCCGTGAACAGCGTATTGTGTAGTTAGTATGCCCGTTCTTAACTTATTTTCTTCTTGTCTGGGGCTTGCAGAACTTTGTCTCGGCGCTGCAGAAGCGCATCCAGTTGAGCGGCACGGAGACACCGTCGGAGCGCTCGATAAAGACAAGCTCCAATGAGCGGAACACCTTCCGCAGCGATCGCACCCACTTTACGACCATCCACGATCCGGAGCTGTGCGATAAGATTGAAATCGTGCGCGACATTGGATAACAAACAAGCAATAGCTACATGTAACTATATCCGTAAGGGGGGCAGAGAGAGAGAGAGAGAGAGAGAGCTGGACATGGGTCGGGGGCGATTACAGGACTAGAGAGCTGGACACACACTTACGGATTAGGAAAGAGCATGTAGCTATTGATTCAAGCAGTCGAAATGAGCTGCAAACTGGCCAGAATTTAAACTTGGCAGAGATCAAAGAAGAGAAAAAAATGAAAGATTTTTCAAAGAAACGGAAGTTTCGTCAAATTAAACAGAAGCTTCGTCAAATTAAACAGAAGTTTCGTCAAATAAAACGGAAGCTTCGTCAAATAAAACGGAAGGTTCGTCAGGGGAAAAGAAGATTCGTTGGAATAAAAGGATTATTCCTCGGAAGAAACGGAAGATTCGTCAGAGAAAAGGAAGATTCGTTAGAGAAATGAAAGATTCGTTAGAGAAATGAAAGATTCGTCAATGAAACGAAAGATTCGTTCAAAGATTCGAAGATTCTCCAGAAGAACCAGAAGATTCTACAGAAGAAACAGAAGATTCGTCGGAAGAAACGGAAGATTCGTCAAATAAAACGCAAAATTTGTTACATAAAATGGAAGATTCGTCAACAGAAACGAAAGATTCGTCGGAAGAAACGAAAGATTCGTCGGAGGATAAAGAACAAGCTTTAACTTGATAATTATACGGAATATGGTAGAGAAATTTTATGAAATTTTGTTGGTTTCGTTTACGCGTAAAGCTGATATTTCAAAAATATCTTAACTAAATCGCTGGGAATAAGCTTGATAGAATAAAGAAAAAAAGAAATGAAAATAATATATATATGAGCGCAGGGCTGGGCTGAAAAGTAAACGATCTGCAGAAGATTCAGTTACCTTATACTAGCTAATATTCTACTTTTAGTTCATCTTCTTTTAATTCATAATTTAGTGGAACTTTGCAAAAAAGCTAGATGAGCATTCAAGTTCTTGATTTCATTTTCTAAGCGTGAAAATAACATTTTTCGCTGTCTTATATTTATATTCATAAGAGAAGCTGCATAAAAGAATTTTTCATTCATTTTCCGCAATTAAATTTTTCACCTAAAGACGTGAATTTGCCGAAAAATGTGAAACATGACTCAAATATATCTGCATTGAGTTGGAATTTTTTGTTAAGCCTTTCTTTAAAAACTTTTCCTTTTTAACTTTAACTCTCCAGAGAGACTCGTGCAAGTGAAAAGTCGTGCGGGTTTCTCAACACTATTTTTATTTTGCACCAAAATCGTTTACTTTTCTGTGCATTCCTGCACTTGTAGAGCATTTAACGCCAGGTCAATCACGATCTATAGGTATTATTATTACATAAGAAACTTTTGTTTTCGACTCGCTAAAGCGAAAAGAAAAAATAAGGAAACGTAAAGCTGTACTCGTCTAGGTTAAGTCGCACAAGCAGTGTTGGTTAAGTCGCAAAAGCACTACCGTTAATGTAGTGTTGCGTAACAGAGTTGTAAGCAGATCGAGTTCGTGATCGAAGATCGAAGAGTGATGACGGGCCAGTTGGAATAGAGCATTGTTTCTCATCAAATGGAGCATATATAAAGTATAAGAAATACATAGAATATATGAGCCGTATATAAGTTTTGCGTATTCCTCGTGTGCTGTCCATAAACTGGAACTAAAACTAATATGAATAATATTCATGACGCTTCACAAACAAATAACAGAAAAAAGATTTACTAATGATTTTGTATCTGTGTTATAATTATACGAGTTGGACATCTACTAATTACATTAACATACACCTAATAAAGATATATTCACCTAAATTATAGATATATACACATAGATATATATATATAAATATATCATTATTCAAAAGATTTCAAGAAATTTTTTCTAACAAAAAACCAAGAAAACTTTTTAAACATTAAGTCTCAATAGCATTTACTAATTACAACAACTGATGTTTCCTTCGATTTTGATCAAGTAATCCATAGTTATATATATATATTATATATTATATATATGCATACCTATTAAGTACAATAAATTATGTCCGAATTTTAAGGGAAAAGAAAATCTTGACGCCAAATCTGATGAAAAAAGTTTTGCCTATTATGGAATTTACTAAGTAAGCGAAAAGATAGCACATTTCAAGCCAGATTTGTTTAGGCCCAAATCGAAGAAGAAGAGAACTTTTAGCGGGATTATCATAAGTTAAAGCTAAGCTTAAGTATAAGATCCATGCAAACTGCAGTACAAACTCAAGTTGAAGCAATTCAAACAAAGCCCGATTAGACATTGCCAAGCAAATAAGCACGCACATTTAACATTAGGTTTACAATGCATGTTAAAACCTCAGACTAATTTCAAGCTAAACAACAAAACAAAACCGAATTGCTGCCGTCCGCAATTGTTAATTTTGGAAATTGTTTGTTTTCGAAAAAAAAAAAATATATGAAAACCAATCGGACAAACAATTCAACTTGTTTATCGTTTCAAACGCCGTACTATATATTTATGTTAATTAGGTTTATTTAATTTATAGCCAAAAACAATGTCTAATCAGGGTTTACTGCCAGAGTAGAAAACCTTACAAGCTCTGCATTTAAAAGTTTAATATGAAATATTCCAGCTAGAAATAAGAAAGAAATAAGTAGAAACAAAAAACCCGAAAAGCTATGTAGCAAAACTTTGCATAAATTCAAAAAAAAAAAAAAAAAAAAAAAAAAAAAAATGATAAAATAAATCAATACACGTATTCAGCTAAGTTTATAATAATACGTATAACAAATTGTAAGAAAAATAAATAATGCGAGCCAAAACAAATATGACAAATGGCCTCTTTTTTTTGTTTACGGTCCGCAAGTCGTTCGGGTTACACAACATCTAGAATTTTATTTGAGCTACTCTCAAGTTTCTTCCACGGATAAACATATCGAATCGCGACAATTATTTGTCATAGCCATTCCCAGAGTTGGCTGTCAGTCCGACCGCAGCGAGCCCCAAAGGCAAATGGCCGAAATTATTGAATCTCTGGACGCCAAACAAATTGAGTCCGAAATTCTGGCCAAGTGCCGCGAATCGCCAAACGGCGCCATCAGCATGGCCAATTTGTTGGCCAACAAACAGCAGAAAGTCGCCATGCCGGGCATCTACCTGATGGCCGCCACGAATTTGGTAAATATATATACATATATCATCTATATATCTAGATGATAAATCTATATTTTTGTACATTCCGGCTGTCTAAATCAAAAGGAATACGGATAGGACTTGAGAATGACACTTCATTGTGTGCATTTTGAGGTTATTAAAACATAACCTCACTTCAATGCAAACATAAAAACATAACCCCACTTCAATGCACTTTTCAAAGAAACTGCGGGATTAGTCAATGTATACGTAAAAACAATATTAGGCTGCAGCTCCTTAAAAGGACCCCTCTAGAATCGATATATATCGATTTTGACAGTTATCGAGCAATTTGACGAATAGCTGAACACATTTTCGATCCCTTAAACTAGGGCTATGCCATATATTCAGACAGCTTATGCTTATTTATGCCTCTGAAATATTGGGCTAGGTGCTAGAATCGATATATACCGATTTTGGGATTTATCGAGCAACTTCTCTTGCGGGAAATGTCGGGGAAATGAAGAGACTTTGTCTATTTCCGAGCTCCGTAAACTTCTATCAGAGCAATAGAAATTGATAACTTGCTCTGCAAATGATACACGAGATCCGGATCAGGAATATAATATATATATATACAATGAAATCGCAGATGCCCATTTCTCTCCCTCGTCTGGTCCCATCTACAGGGCAGCTCCTTTTTATGCTTGAAATTGATTTTAAAGCGCCATCTACAGCGCACAGCATTAGCATTTGAGTTACAATGTAGATTTATCCGCAGCGTTAATTGAACTCTTTGCAGTGCAGTCAGGGCAAGGTGCGCCTGGAGCAGGAGTCGCAGCAGCGGCCCAAGGAACCGACCAGTCTCCAGCATCTCATAATAACGTTGATCAATTAAAAAGAAGAGATAAAACCGGAAGCTGTTGCCGTATCCTTAAATTTATGTTTTGTTGTTGTTGTTGTCGATGTATTTTTCTTTTTCTTTTTTTTTTTTTTTATTGAATAATACACATTTATTATACAGATGCCTGTGTTTCCTGTTGTTGTTGTTGTTGTGTATTATCTAAAGACCAAAGAACATAGTTTAATATAGCTTAGCGCTCGACTCCTGTTGAACATTCGTGTGTGTGGTGTGTGTGTGTGTGCGTGGGTGTGTGTGGGTGTGGCGATGTACAGAAGAAGAAGAAACAAACGACCGACCAGGTTTTTTTTGTTTTGGATTGTAACAATTTTTGTTTATATTTGTTAATTTGCCTGCCCTAAACGATATTAACTAGCATAATTTAGTCGCTGTTGTTGTTGTTGTTGTTGTATTTGTTGTTGTTGTTTGGTTGTTGTTGTATTGAATGCTAGATGTGTGGGATGTGGGCTTAGATGCGGCCAGGGAATGTGCCGCTCTCGCGCTGATCATCCCACTTCTCGACCCAGGCATTGGGGCACATCGTCTTGTAGACCTTCTTGAAGTAGTTGCATGGGGCAAAATTCTCGCCGCGCTTCTTCTGGCAACGATGAAAGTCCAAATAGGATTGATAGCAATAGCGGGTCACGTTCTGGTTGGGGAAACGTGGATCGAATGGTGCGGTCTCCATCTTATAGGCGGACATGTTGTCGGCAGATGTTTTCTCGCTGTTTTTGTTTTTGGACATGAAAAATTGCATATAAATTGACTTTTAGTTGAAAAAGAAAACCAACAAAAACAAAAACAAAACAAAAAAACACAATTCAAAAGGCAAAAGGCAACAAGAATTATAAACCAGGGCAAGGAGACACAATTAATATAGATAATAAGTATATGTGTAAATGGATTAGATGAGAGTAAAGTAAAGTAAGGTAAAGTATAAATGTAACTTAAATTAAGAGGCAAATATAACAATAAATGTTGTTAACAATTTCAATTTCAAAGTCAAATTTGTTGTTTAACCAAAGGAAAGTAGAGAGAAAAAGAGACAGATATAAAGTATGATAATACGTTAGTTCCATGTTCATTTCATGTCTGTCGATCTTCTATAAAAGTATACACACACACACACACACGCACACAAAATACAAGTTACATAAGTTTAGTTTAGTTTAGTTTTAGTCAAAGGAATACATAGTCCATAAATAGATACGTATTTAAATATATAGAAATCTGTACAAACTAATGCTTAAACACGTACGCTACGTTTATTAATTCATATTTTATTCAGTTTGTGTTCTGTGTGTATTATTATTTTTTTTTTTTTTGTCGTATCTGCACAGTTTCGCATCTGCCCCGTCTATGCTCCCAAAAAGATATATATATATATGTTGTCTCTATAAACTAGTTGATTATGGGCATAAAATAGTTAAACTCTAAAAAGAAATTGAGACCCAAAAGCTCTCTCTCTCTCTCTCTCTCTCTTTTTGCACAATTTGTTTTCGTTTTTTGTTGAGAATGAGAAAAGATTTTCACTTAGCTTAAAAGAAAATCCATATGGATATATCGATCGATATATATATATATATATATGTCTAGCTGTGTGTGTGTGTGTGTGTGTGTGTGTGTGTGTGCGAGACAAGAGTCTAAAGCTAACGCCAAAGCGTTTTCGTTTTTTGTAACATTGTTTGCGGCCTGCTGCGTTCAAGTTCATCTTTCCGTTTGTTGTGCGTATGTGTATAATATATATAAATGTGTGTGTGTAGTTGTTGGTGTGTGTATGTGTGGAGGTGTGCATCCGCATCCCGATATCCTATTTAACCAGCGGCCGCTTGCCATTGTCCGTATCGCAGGCGTTGCTCTTATATTTATTCACTTCGGCCAGGTAAAGCGACCAGAAATCCTTGGGATCCACGTCCCGTTCACTGGGCGTCTTCAGTTTGGCCACGACGCCCGTTTTCAAGATTTTGCCACCGCGTCGTCGTCCGACCAACGGTGGCGGCGGCGCCGATTTACCAGCCGCCGCTGCGGCTATATAGGGCGCAGCCGGTGTGCTGGCCGCGCCGGCAGCTATCGCTGGCAATGGTCCAAATGGACTGGCTGCTGCTGCGCAATTCTCCAGCAGCTGTTGTTGTTCTCTTAGCGCTGCGGCGGCCGCGGCAGCTGCTGCGGCCGCAGCCGCTGTGGCAGCAGCTGTGGCGGCATCCAACTGTGGTTGCATTGGCAACGGCAACGACAACGGCTGCGGGAAATGCGGCGGCTGCTGCTGCTGTTGCTGCTGCTGATGTAGCTGCGGTCGCTGTTGTTCCTCCTGCATTTTCTTAAAGAGTTCCATGAAGGAGCCGTCGTTGGCGAAAACTGGATGCGATGCCTCAGGCTTGGGCGGCGGATAAACCTTGCCTTCGCGCGCAAGTGTCTCGCGCAGTTTCTCCTCGATTTCGCGATGTATGCGCTCCTTGTCGAAGGGCTCGTCCGTGTCCAGATTGTAGTAGGCACCTACGGCAGACATGGCATTATCCCGGCTCGACCCGTTGCCATTCATCGGTCCCTGTGCACGCACCACATCCTCCACATTGATATTGCCTCTGTTGACTTTGTTGTTGCTGTTGTTGCTGCTGCTGCTGCTGCCGTTGTTGTTGTTATTATTATTATTGTTGTTGTTGTTGCTGGAGCTGCCGTGTGGCTGCTGTCGACGTGCCGAAGACGGTGGCGTTTGGGAACGACTGCGACTATCTCGCTGATAATAGCTGCGTCTGGAGTAATCCCTGTCGCGGTCGCGGTCGCGATCACGTTCGCGCTCGCGCTCCCGCTCCTTCTCGCGCTCCCATGAACGATCGCGCGAATCCCTATGATGACGATGCTGATGACGCCGCTCACCGCGATCGCGACTGTGACGTCGACGCTGGCGCTCCGCGGAGCGACTGCGACTGTGACTATAGCGACGTCGTTCAGCAGAACGGCTGCGTTCGCGCCGGCTGTTGCTGTTGCGCTCCTGATAGCCAACGCAGCGCTGGCCGCCGCGACCACGGCTGCCGCTGCGCCGGCGTTGTTGCTGCTCCGCCGGCTGCTGTTGATAATATGGTAAACGTGCCGCAGACATGTCGTTTATATGTCCGTCTCTTACGGCTGCCACCAGTCAAGTTTGCTGCTGCTGCTGCTGCTGCGACTGCGGGTGTGGCTGCGGTTGACGATCTGCAATTCAAACTGTGCCGCGTTAAATCAAACAATTGCAGTTGGGACGTTTCGTATGCGGTATACCTATACACAATATACAATATATTTCTTGATACGGTTTTCGATATGGCGACGCCTGCTGCTCTGTCGTCAAGTATTTCAAAACATATGCATGTATATATACATTTTGATTGTTTTTTTTTTTTTACAATTTGCCTGCTTGCCTGATTGTGTGTGACCAGATGTGTTCATTTCAATTTGGTTGCCTCATGCATTATGCATGTTCTTTAGTGGGAGGCAGCCACACACCACACACATACACATACGGCAATATATTGCCTTCTCTTTGTAGCTGTTAACTGCTGTTAACAGAATTGGCAGAGTTGCCAAACAGAATGGAGTCGACGCGAAAGTTTAGTGCGAAATAATCTCGCAATTTGCCTGTAGTAGTACGATTTGTGCACAATATGAAAGAACAATCATAATTTTTAGCAACAAGGATACGTGACCTTGTCTATGTACATGAAGGGTGCACTTTAGATTTTTTGCAAGCGGACCACTAAGAACCACACGCACAGCTTAAAAGCTTAAAGCTGTGTGGCAGGGCCGGCGGCAACCAACATGTATAAATAAATGTGGCCACTCTTTGGGAATTAAGACAATTCGAATATGTGCACCCGAAATTCATAATCTTATGCAATTGCAATTGACTTGGTTTCGTTAGAAATTTTGATTTGGAATAAGAATTGTAAAATTTACTTGTATGCTTTATCCAGCGAACGCCGTTATGTGTACTGCTGTTGCTGCTGTTCTAGTTGTAGTTGTTGTTGCTGTTGCTGCCGCTGAGATGTTATTGATGTTTGCTGTTGTTGTTGTTGTTGTGGTTGTCCGCAAGGTGCTGCCACCCTTTTTTTTCAGCCTGCGTCAGCCTGTCGCAGCTGGTGTGATTCGTTGGTCGCGCGGTGTGGTGCGGTGGGTCGCGTGCGTTTTATGTATTTAGTGCTTGCTTTTGGTTTGCTTTGCTTTGCTGCTGTTTGTAACTGTTTAACTGAAATCGGTTGGGAGCGGATATTGTTCGTCCTGCATGGAAAAATGAACTTGAACGCATGAATACAAAACGTTACTTGGATCAATACGCTGTGCAAGGAGTTTGTTTATAAATTATTACTTCTTTTTCTCATTTTCTTTTACTTTTGCTTTTCTACATTCTTTGTGGTTAGAATACAGATACGGTTGGATACTTAACGAGGAGGCATCGAGCCAAGGGACGTTGCAATAATTGCGTTTCAGCGCACATTCCGAACTTATGTAACTAACGTTAAGAACTTACGATTGTTTGCTTAATACGTAACTTACTTATGCCGAAATATAACTTTACCTCAACAAATTTTCAGTTAAATTTAATTAGGAGTTATGTAATTTATTTTTTCTTTGCCTGCTGCCAAAGCCTTTACAGCCAGCGGCGTTGAAAATGTGTATGTGTGATTGCGTGTGTGTGTGTGTCTGTGTGTGTGTATATATGTATGTGTGCGTGCTTATGACAAATACTTAAGTGCGTGTATTGTTGCATAAATGCAATATTTGTGCCACTGGCTTACAATTTGTATTAGTTGCGTTTTGTTGATCGTTTTTGCTGTGCTTGTTTCAAAAACATACCTTTGTTGTTACGGAAAGTACAAGGAAAATTTTTCAACTGCTGGGCGATTCTCGCTGTTACGAGCACGAACCAGTCGACGATAGTGTGTGAGATGAACAAAAAAATAATACCTATTGAAAATATCGACTATATGTCAAAAACTGACAGTTAGAGCCGGGTTGCCAGATGCTCAACACAAGCGCCACCTGCCGTAAAAAAAAAACAAACGAAATAAGACCACTTGAACACGGTTCACGCACATGCATCGATATCGTTATCGTTATCGGGTGTAACATTTAACATTTCCTTAGACTTTGCAATAAACACGCAAGCCGAAATCGAATTAATGCAAGTTATAGACGCTCTCGTGTAATGGGTGATTGAAAATACGCCACGCTGTTGGTCTCGATAATGGACAGCAATCCAACGGAACTCGGGGCAAAGCCAAGAACCAACAACAAAAACAATCAGCAGCGCCGCAACCAAAGCCAACGCATTGTACGCAAGCTGCCGCCGCGTGCTGCCAGCGACAGACGAAATATTTATATTACCAGCAAGACGGACTTTAAGGTAGGCTGTTGTTATGCCTTGTTTATTTACCTAAACATATATGATCTGCTTGGCAGGCACAGCAGAAGCGATGCGAGGATCTGCTCAACGCGGGTGCTAAGGAAATCTATTTGCATTGCATGGGCTATTCGATTACACGTGGCCTCAATTTGGCATTGCGTCTCATCCAGAACTCGGACGGAGCGCTTAGCTACGCGATAAACACATCCACCATACAGCTGCTGGATGAGCTGCATCCACTGTGTGATGACGACGATATAACCTATCGCAAGCGCAACAATTCCGCGCTACACATCAAAATCTACAACAGCAGCCTCTTCGACATTGTCGTGCCCAAGCTGCCGGCACAGCCGACGCTGTCCGGGATCGGTCACAACGAAGCCAACACAAAGCCAACGCAAACACAGCGCAAAACCCAGCAGCAGCAGCAGCAACAACAACAACATAAGAAACCGAAACATAAGTAAAAGAAAATGTTCAAATTATCGGAGCTGGTGCGCTGGCTGGGGCTAACCGAGTTCGAGATATTGGTTAATCTGTGCGGCCTGCTCGTGTTTACCATAACGCTGGTCTTTAAGATATCGGGCACATTTAACAATATAATGCCGGAGCTAATGTGCGACTGGTTTAGCATATTCAGTCCATTGTTCTTCATCGATATATGCAATGCATATTTTTGCGTTATTGTTGGCATACGCATGTACCTGGACTCGGATAACAAACGGAAGGCGCTGCATCGTTTCATGTGGAGCACATATTTCCTTGTACTTATCGCCATCTTCAAGTATTTGCTGTGCCTCAAGCTATCCGGCAAAACGGGCCTCGAGTACAGCGAAGTTTTCTCGCCCATTTTCGTGCTGCTGCAGCTTGTTGCGGTTCGTGCCTGCCAGCTGCCCAACTCTATTTAAAATCATCTAATCTACATTGTAAACCCCCTCCTGAAATGCCTACGATTAGTTATTATATATATGTGTGTATATATATAATATTGTAAGCGAGTTATGAACATACAAATACATACAAAAGTTTTTGTACACGCACTTAGCCAGCCCATTGCAATTTTTAACTATATATACATATTGTGTCGCGTTGTTATATTTCCTTTTTGGCACTTCGAAACATATCTTTGTTTATTAATTCCAATTTATTTAGCTTATCAATTTTGTGTTTGTGCATTTAAATGCCGTGGGAAGACCCTCAATGTCTTAACATATTGCTGTAAGAATTCGATTGTTTGTGTAACAGCGTAAATGCCTATCGATAATACATATCGATTGTGTTTTGCAGCTCCAACACTGCGTTCGCGTTTTGTTTTATTCGTTTTATTTTGTTTGCCAGTGCACAGATATGTCGACATTAAATCGCCCCAAATCCCCGCATACGCCCACAGCCATTAAGAAGGGTGAAAAGGAAGATAGCTTCTGGGACAAATTCAGTACACTTGGCCGTAAACGCGGCACTCGAGAAGGTGAGATAGATCCTCCACCGCCCCGCCTCCCCAAATTGGGCTAGCGCAGTGAAATCTGCTCAATATGGCCAAATATGGCCCAGCATCAACTGAAGTGTTGTGTTAAATGCGTGGTTACATCTTTCCATTCAATCGTGCAGTGAAATATCGCAGGAGCAGCCACTCCTCCAGCGTTTGGCCAACGTTTCTGACAACAGATGTGCATTGTCCATTGCCCATGTTATTCAAAAAAAAACATTGCGTCATTTACATTTGTGACGCATACAAACAAACAAACTGATCGCTTTATGTAGGTGTATATGTGCTTGAGCACCCGTGTGTGTGTTCATCAGTGTGCCCACGGTGAGCGTTTCGTGTTTTCTCGTAACACGAACACGCACGCGTGACACGAATTGTCCAAGTTATACAAATTTAAAAACATTAAAGTGTTTATGATAAATAATGATTAAATGCAGTAATGATGAACAGGAAATAATCAGGATTTTTAAAATGTTAGCGCTGTCTTCGTTTTTAAGCTTACATTTTTTCGTATTGACGGGCCACACGGGCCCATCCCTAATTTGGGTGCTTGTTGCGTGTCGCATTTGTGACGTCACTATCTATTGTTTACATTGCACTATTGCCTGCTCACTCACTCACACACACGCACACACACTCTTCATTTGTGCCGTTGCAGTTAAGAAAATCCAAGAAGAAGGCAAATATGCAATCGACTCGCCCGGCTCACCCAATCAGTTTGACATCCCGCCCGAGGATTATGCGCTGCGTGAGTATTGGAATCGGGTTAACATATATGACCGGACATAGCCATTATTATTGATCTTTATTTGTACGGTTAGGTGAGCATGAACAACGCGCCGTTATTGATCCGCAATCGAACAACGATCCGGAAATGTTGAAGCTGCAAAAGATTCTCATCGATTGGATCAACGATGAGCTTGCCGAGCAGCGCATCATTGTCCAGCAGCTGGAGGAGGACATGTACGATGGCCAGGTGCTGCACAAGCTCTGGGAGAAGCTAACGGGCAAAAAGCTGGACGTGCCCGAGGTGACACAGTCCGAGCAGGGCCAGCACGAGAAACTCAGCATTGTGCTGAAAGCGGTTAACCATGTGAGTTGGCCATCAATAGACGCCTTAACAATGATAAACAGGGCTAAAGTGAACCTGGTTTTCCAAGCTTCCTTCATTAACTCCGCTTGGTTCGGTTCTCCCTTTCCCTTTTCCTTCCCTTCCCTTTCCCTTGCATAATGATACCCTGTGCCCATGAAGCATTTGCATATTCTTGACCAAGACGAGGAGCTGAGACCATGTTCTTCTGCTCTGAAATCTACAATATATATGTTCCCATTTATATTGCTTGCTTTTCGCTTTTTTATGAAGCTGGAATCCCGCCCCTCTTCCCACCAAAAAGCAATTGCTATCCCTAACTAACTTATATATTCCTTATGGCACAGACACTTGGCTTCCATCAGAAGATACCCAAATGGTCGGTGGCCAGCGTTCACTCGAAGAACATTGTGGCCATATTGCATTTATTGGTCGCGCTGGTGCGTCATTTTCGGGCGCCAGTGCGTCTGCCGGAGAATGTCTTTGTCACGGTGGTCATTGCCGAGAAGAATGCGGGCGTTCTGAATGCGCAGTGAGTTGAAGCGGAACACCGAACGCCACGAGCGAACCAATCGAATCATGATCATCTTTGCAGGAAATTCCAGGAGCAAATCACGTCCGAGTACGATGATCTGGGCATGCGTTGCGAGAAGGATGCCTTCGATACGCTAATTGATTGTGCGCCCGACAAGCTGGCCGTGGTAAAGAAGTCCCTGATCACGTTCGTCAACAAGCATTTGGCCAAACTGAACTTTGAGATCAACGATCTGAACACAGATTTCCGGGATGGGGTCTATCTGTGCCTGTTGATGGGCCTGCTGGGCGGATTTTTTGTGCCGCTGCATGAGTTCCATTTGACGCCGCAGGATGTCGATCAGATGGTCAACAATGTGGCGTTCGCCTTCGATCTAATGCAGGATGTCGGCCTGCCCAAGCCAAAGGCACGCCCCGAAGATATCGTCAACATGGATCTGAAGTCCACGCTGCGTGTTCTCTACAGCCTGTTCACCATGTTCCGAGAATATGCCTGAGCTAAATGTCATTTATGTCTAATCAATTATTATTATTATTTTATTTTTTTTTTTTTATTTTTGTTATAAATTAATAATTTATGCATGCTTAAATCGTAAATCGGAAATGAAATTGAAATTGAAAATGTCCTAACTGTTTATATATTCAAGTGTTCTAACTGTTTATATATTGTATGTATATGTATGTGTGCATGTGTGTGTGCATCTAATCCCGTTGTAAGCTGTTGGCCGCCGCAACGAAAAGCTAACCCGCCCGATTGTTAAGTTGCTTTAGTTGTTACTAAATGAATTTATATACATTTTATAATTGTATTAATAAATGTGCCTTGACAATTCGTAATAGTTGCTTTTGTTTTTTTTTTCTTCTCTGTTGATATCTGTAATTCTACATACATTGTTTGTTCGTATACATATATATATATATACGTATGTATACATATATAATGGCTTTTCGTTTAATGTTGTTTGTCACACACTCAGAGACATATAGAGAAATGGAAAAAGTATCAAAAAATTATATTGTGTAATTTCGAATAATCGTCTTAGTTAAACACGAAACAACTTGAAATTGCTGCATTTTGAATTAACGTACACCATTCGAGGGAATTTTGTGGCAGATTGCGCGTTGCCAGACTGTTGGCAGCAAACAACAGCGGCCTGCAGCGATGTACATTAACAGCGCCTCAAATTTGCGTTAACAGGACACAAATTGGCGTTAACAGCGCTGTTAAGTAAACAACTCAAATTTGCGCTAACGGAAAGCAGCTGACTGCCCATGTGGAAAGAATTCATACGACGTCACAGCTATCAAAGTAAGGTAGCTCCAAATCGAGAGGGCGCCCGATTGATTATACGCCGTCTACAAAAAACTGTTTTGCGAATATTGCGAGATCCAGATTTTAGGATGTCAAAAACATCATTTCAGCAAAAGCCAACCGAACCGGACCCGCCGGTTGATGGGACACAATTCAGTGCGCATCGAAACAGCAAACAAGATAGCAACTGTCGCACCTGCAACGATTTCAAGTCATGGTCGAAACAACAGCGTCTCATTTCAAATACGCAAGCAGCTAAGGTAAATCACAATCTTGTGCATTTGAAAAGCGCTCCTGGCACTTCATTAACGCATTTCCCATTTCTTGTTTACATTTAATGTCAGGAAAAGCATATGGCAAGCGAAAAGCTAACTGTGAACGCAGCAGGCATCGCAGCGCCCCGCGAAGATTGTCCACTGGATAAAGTGCGCCTGGGCATATCTACCTGGGGCCTGCTGCATACCATGGCAGCCTTTTATTCCGACAATCCCACTGATACGGAGAAACGTGATATGCGTACATTTTTTGAGGTGCTCTCACGCTTGTATCCATGCGAGTATTGTGCCAAGGACTTTCGCACAGAGTAAGTGTGACCGCATCATTAAATCATTGTTGATACACTCACACCTTCCCTCTCTCTATACCATGCAGCATTGAAGTGAATCCAATTAATGTCAATTCACAAAAGGATTTGGCGCTGTGGCTGTGTAAATTTCATAATCGAGTAAATGACAAGCTTGGCAAACCGCTGTTCGATTGCAGCAAAGTAAATGAGAGGTGGCGTGACGGCTGGCTAGATGGTTCCTGTGATTAGGTCTATGAAATTAGTTGCAAGATACCACGCAACACACACACACACACACACACACATACACACATACGCACACGCACTAATTTACTAACACACAATGCAACTCTAGCACTAGAGTCCACCCCCCCTTTACCTTCCACCACGACCACCAACATTTAAAGCGATGTGACAAAATTTCGATAATTTAATTGTCAAAACGTATTTGAACAGATGGAATTAACCCAATACGCGTGTAAATTTAATTCGGCTCCAGAGATTTCCAGTTTCAGTTCCGTTTGGGTATCGAGGCGCCAGCGATAACATTCTGATGACACAACCACCTAACATTACCCCCTCACCAATCCCACAACTCCCGCCGATACCGCCAGATTAAGTAGTATATACATATGTATACATATATATTTTATAATTTTCAAATGTTATCAAAGTTAACGTTCAATGTTGGTCGGGCGATGAATATGTGAGAGTTGTATTGTGGTACAAAATTTCGTATTTTTCTGTTTGTATTATAAAATCAATAACTAAATTAAAACATTGCTGTTATTCTTTCTATGCTGGGTCCACATCATGATTTTAACATTTACATCTAGAACTACAGAAATTGCATCACTTTTCTTTAATGAATTTCACAATTCCTTCTATGGAGCTGTGAGCTGCGGCTTATGTTATTTTGGGCTATGTTAATTTAAAGATATGTTAAAGTTCAA